TTTGCCGCCATTTATCAAAAACACTACGACTCTGACGAGCTCACTTTTGGAAGTGCGGCCACCCAAAGTACATCCGAAATCATCGCTGTAGGTCGGATTGCATCCGACTCCCTTGAGGGGAAACTGAACCCGGCTTCTTTGGTGCTTGAAACTTCGCGCAGGACTGGAGCTGGCAGGCGTGTGCCCCTCAAAGTCGAATCTGTACCTGGATTAAATTTCATCCCGGGCCAGATTGTTGCTCTTCGTGGAATCAACCCTTCTGGAGATTACTTCACGGTTAAAGAGATTCTTCCGATCCCTCTCTTGCCACCTGCCGCATCTCCAGCAGTTGCTCTCGAAAATATTAACGAGCGCCTCGAGAATGGAGATGCCAATCCTCCCCTCAATGTTATGGTAGCGGCTGGTCCGTACACAACAGACGATAATCTGGATTTCGAACCGCTGCAAGAACTCTGTCAAAAAGCCGCCGAGGGTTACGCTGACAGTCTCGTCCTAATGGGTCCATTTCTGGATATCGAGCACCCTCTAATTGCTTCCGGAGACATTGAGTTGCCCGAAATTAAGGGTCTTGACCCCGATACTGCTACGCTCACAACAGTCTTCCGGCACCTCATCTCAGCGCCCCTGGCACGCCTTGCGGCTGCAGTACCCAGCATTACCATTGTACTGGTCCCGTCCGTTCGGGATGCGCTGAGCCGACACGTTTCATGGCCTCAGGAACAACTTCCTAAAAAGGAACTCGGCTTGCCAAAGCAAGTCCGAATGGTCTCCAACCCTGTCACACTATCATTCAACGAGACTGTCTTCGGCATGTGCTCACATGATATCCTCTCTGATTTGCGCCGCGAGGAGGTTCTCCATGGCCGCCCGGCTGAGGGCAACCTACTGACTCGACTGCCCAAGTACCTTGTTGAACAACGGCACTTCTCCCCTCTATTCCCACCCTCCGGCCGTGCAAGTCTTCCAAAGCCAAGTACCGAAGGTGCACTTGCCACAGGTGCTATGCTGGATTTGCCCTATATGAAGCTTGGAGAATGGTGGAATGTCCGGCCTGACATCCTGCTTGTTCCCAGCATGCTGCCGCCATTTGTCAAGGTTTGTGTTTCCCTTATCTAACCCTCACAACACCACTGATCGTAACCTATACTAATTTCACTTTTCTCTAGGTGGTGGATAGTGTCCTCGTCATAAACCCCGGCACTTTGTCCAAGCGCCGCGGCGCCGGCTCCTACGCTCAGCTAGCAGTCCACCCACGAGTGATATCCGACGAAGAGCGTGAGCAGAAGCAGCTCGATCACAAGCTATACGAGCGAGCCCGAGTAGACATCAACCGAATTTAACCAGGGGCCGTTGTACACATACTGCATGACACCAGGCGTTGGGGCGTGAAGTGAAACCGTGGCGAGAAAGCAGAAGCTACGCCAAATAAGATTATAGCGAATATTCGAAGTGATATTTCTTCCCATCAGCAATACCAATGAAACGAAATCAATGTCACAAAACAAAAAGAATACTACCTCCGTAAGGCGGAATGGGTATCAGAGACTCCCGCAATGCAAAGTTGAAAAAAAAAAAGGGAAAGACAAGGGAATAGAACAGAGCAAGGCCTTACGGTCTCCCCTCATCGCAGCCCAACCGTCCTCCGCCCACCCATCTTTCTACCCGCACTCCTCACTCGAACAGCGGCACTAGCAGCCGACGCTGCACCACCACCACTCCCCCTCAACGTCGCGCCAGGTCCAGAGCCAACCGTCCCACCACCCGCCCCCGTAGTCGCCGCAACAGCACCACCTCCATGCCCCTGCCCACTAACAAGTGCCTGCAAGCCTAGATCCCTCCAAACAGCCTCGCGCCTGCGCTCCATGGCGCGCGCGATCCCGAACGCAGCATGCTGGTCCGGTACGACATCGTCCTCGTCTTCGGGGTTTGGCGGCTGGTGTTGCGGCGCGACGTAGATGTCTTCGATTGGTAGGAAGGAGGGGATGCTGGATTGGGTTGCGGAGCCGTATGTTACTGCGTTGCTGGCCCCGGTTGGCTGGGTGGTTGTTGCGGATGGGTTGAGTGTGTGTGGATTTGAAGAGGAGGATGTGTGGGGTCGTGTGAATTCCTCGAAGAAGTCTGCTAATCGTGCTTGGTGCATGTGGATGTGTGTTGCGGAGGAGTCTTTGCTCTGGTGGGTTGTTAGTGGCGGTTTGCTGGTTTGTTTGGGAGAGTGCAGTTGGGGTTGGTTGATACGGACCATTTTGGCTGATTTGAAAAGCTCGTGGCTCTTGTATGTTTATATTCGGTGGGTTCCAAGGTTTCGATTTGGGAATCGCTGAACTGTGCAATGCGTCGTTGAGAAGGTCTTGGTTGCTAAGAAACGTTGTTGACATGGACCCCGGGCCCGGCAGAATGGATTCACTCCGCGCACCGCTTTCAAGGCGGTGGATAGCGTGTCAGCCAATCCAATCCAATTCAACCCTAACTTGAAATGAGATATATAGATACGAAAGTCATTCGACGGTTCAAGGTTCTGGACATATTCATTCATTTCGTATTCAGATCTAAAAGTTCTTCCCGGAAACCGAAGACAAAGATAATGCTGAGGGTCATTACAAAAAAGAACCCCACTACTGCGCAGACAAGCTAACATTTGGGATCTCTCCTCAAAAAGAGCCTTGATAAGAAAGAAGTCAAGGCCATCTCAACTTTTCGCGGTATGGTAACATATAGCATGGGCATAAAATAGTCTTATCAGATATTCGTACTCATCCGGTGGACGATTGGCACCGCGCTGGGTGGCAAGCTGCCCATCTCCGTAATCACCATGTCCACGTACTCCGCTGGAGTCACATCATACATGATGTTCAACAGCTGCAGGTGAGGAGTGTCTTTCCAGTTGGCAAGAGGGGAGGGGGAGGGGGTACGAGCTGAGGCGGATGAATCTTGGGTGGGAGCTGCAGAAGCACCCTTGCCACCCTTCTTAGGCTCGACTGGAGGAGCAGTAAACGCAGCAGGGTCGGGGAGGCCAGTCACTTGCTGTGGAGGGTTTGCGGGAACTAGCTCGTCGGCATCGGCGATTTCGTTGACGACGATGCTGTCGAGAGCGACGCGGTCAGAAAACTTGATTGTCTCGCAACAGACGATAACGGGAACTTCAACGCCACCGGCGCGCTCTTTAGCAGACATGGCGACCAAAGCGGTACCGACGCGAGAGTAAAGACGACCATTACTGGTCATACCGTGTGCGCCAAGGAAAACCTTGGTGGCGTCCTTGATAGCATGGCTGATGGCATGTACGAGCGAATATTGAACGTCCAGGCCAGCGTTGGCCAGAACTCGAGCAAGACTCTTGCCTTCGAAGAGAGGGCGAGAATCAATGATCGATACGCGAAATCGCTTTCCTTCCTTGTGTGCTTGGAGGAGAGTTTGCTTGACAATATTGCTGCCGGCAAATGTCACAATCACATCGCCGTTCTCAATCTTTTCCACCGCACTTCCCGCGATGACTTGGTCCGCCACAGTAATCTTTTCGCGAATAAAGTTGTCAATAAAGTCACACAGGGTCGCCTTGGCAGAAGACTCCGGGGTAGATGGGTCAATTCCCGCAATAGCCAGCTTCAACGCGCGAATCGCGTTACCCTGACTGACGGCGAGTGGTCGACATGTCGAAAGGTAGCTGATCTGGTGGCTGAGATGGGTCGTCAAATGGCGTGCCAGCGAGGTACCCAGAGGAGTGGTGTAAGATTCAATCACCTAAAATATGAATAAAGTCAGAATAAACAGTACCATAAGGTAGATTGGCGAAAGGCTCGTAACAACTCACCCGCTTGAAAGCAAGCAGGGTCGCAACGCATCGCGCACTGCTACCGCAGACCACATAGTCTCGCAGTTGGAGACCAAGCGCAAGGACAGCAGGGTGCACTTCCTTCGCAGCACCATTGACAGTGGTTCTTCGCTGTTGGCCGTATAAATGACTGAACACGGACACGCTCTTATCTTCCTTTTTCTTCTTTGGCTCAACGGCGGTGCTAGCCTGAGTTACAGGGCCAGACCCTCGGCGAGGCGGTGCGCCCTTTGGTCCCTTCTGAGAAGCGCCTCCACTGGCAGCATCCTTCTTTGGTGTGTTTGGAGGACGAGACTGGCCTGCATCAGGAGCTGAACCGCCCGCAGCAACAGCTCCGCCGTCTCTGTCGGCCTTCTCCTTCGCGCGCCGGGCGGCCTTCTCAGCCTTGGCTTTAGCCTTCAGTTGCGCAGGGGTCAGAGGCTTGTCACTGGCACCATCGCCGCCTGTGGAAGAAGCTGCGGGGGCATCCTTGGGCTTGGAGGTTCCTTTCTCAGATTGTGCGGGCTGCTTTGCGCTCTTCGAATCGCGGATGGGGAGGGATTGAGAGGGAGAATTTTCGGCGACGGGGTTGGGGGACGCTTGGGAAGGCGCAGTGGTTGACGGAGAGGTCAGAGCCGGGTCAACAGAGTCCGCCATCTTTATTGACTCAATCGCGGTAGTTGACGGGCGTCTAGCGGGACCTTGAGTTGCGTGGTGGGGAGAGAGGGTTGACTCACGGAAAAAGAAATGATGCCATAAGCGGCCCACCGAACGCCGCAGCCCTAATCTCCGGCGTCGTTGATGCTGCTTCATATTGGCCGACCAAGATGATATCATGATTTACAAGTCAAGTACGAGAGATAGAAATGAACCTTAAGCAGCTCAGAGTACTTTCACCTCGGTTTGAGATTATTTCGGCCTCAGAAGAAGCAGTCTACTACTGTAATATGGGTCGGAGCAACACTGGGCGGTCGCCTTGGAAATTTGCATCACTCGTTATTCGTCAAAGGGGTCTCTCGCTGCTGTTCAAAGAATAAAAAGAAGACAGAATGGTCCAAACGCTGCCTAACGATGGCTGGTAATGGCCCGAGGGCTTGGGCTTCAGCCCAAACAAAAGATCGAAACAAAGACTGCGCCCGCTAACACCAGCTCTATACAAAAAGCATCAAAGGCTGCCAGGAACTCGCCAGAGCTAACGATTATTGGCAGCTATTTGCCTTAGAGCTCGACGTTTGCGAGTCGCAGTCTGCTCGTCATGGTGCCAGCGCTCATGGTCGGTTGCTAGCTTCCGTTTGAAAACACTCAAATCGCCAAGGAGATCCTGCATGTGATTTTGCATCAGGTACGCCTCCTGCTCGTTCATATCCGTCGATTCATCCTCCTCATCCTCCCAGACATCGGTCTCACTCTCGGTTTCTGAATAGGCGGGAGAGCCCTCTCGCGAACGGTTTTCTTTTGTTGCAAGGGGAGACGGGGATTCCTCCGCCAATGATGCGAGACTAGGTTGTCGTTGAGGGATATTAACTGGCGGAATTGGGTTCTTGAGACTTTCCAGGGCAAGTTTCAGGTGCAGGCGCAGTGCCTCATTTTCTGTCTGTAACTGTTGGATTTTGGACTTGCTGACCATCTGGCTTTCCTCCATTAGACGCTGCATCTTCTCAACCTTCTGCTGGTATTCATCCAACTTCTCGTCCTGAAGCTGAGTTGCGCGCTGGTTTTCATTTGCTTGGCTCACGCTTAGCTGAAGGGTGCGAATAGTTTCCGTCATCTCCGCAATCTGCTGGTCGCGCTCGGCAGCCGATAGATGGTCCTGGTTAACCCGTGCACGAGTGCGAATATTTTTGGCCTGGTCGGCGTATCGTAGAGTGGAAAGTGTCTCCTCATAATCTGCAGGGGCAATACATGCAATCATTGCCGTCTTTGAGTTTCCGCCCAGACTATCCTTCAACAACCATGTGAGAATGGAGTCACGATAAGGCACCAGATCTTTGCCCTTTCTGCCGCCTCGGGTTTTCTTGGGATCTGCCAACGCAGCTATCACTCTGCCAAGAGTTGTGAGTGACTTGTTGATATTCGAACCTTCACGGAGTCGTGCGCCAGTTGCTTCAGTCGACTTGGCCCTCTCAGAACCTGCAAGATCGACAAGGCGAATGCGAGCCGTACGTTCCGTCGTTTCGTCCGTGGAGAGATCGTGATGTATTTGCTTCAAAGTTATCGTGAAAACGGCGTGTGATCGAGAGGAGGTATCGTTCATTTTGGTGCTTGCCGTGGTTCGTGAGACATCACCCTTGCGCATAAACTTCATCAACTCTGTGTAGTTCCTTGCTGTCACTTCCGTGAGGTCCTTGACGTATGGACCTTCTGATGGAGACTCGCGGATCCGAAGGTAATGCGGGGGGTCTGTCCGTGGTACCAAAAGGTCCCGCACATGCTCATTATACACTTCAAAGTAGGATACTCGGACGTTATAACTGATGTCGGGCGAGGGTGATGATTCGATGCGCTGGAAAAGATCCTCGCAGGTACGAGGAATCAATCCTGGCTGCTCGGGCGTTCCCATCATTGTATAACTCTTGCCGGAACCCGTTTGTCCATAGGCGAAGATGCAAGTGTGGTAACCTTCGAAATTATGATCCAGAAATTCTTCACCAAGTGAGTTGTATACTTCCTCTTGGTGCGCATAATGCTCATCCTCCTCTTCGTGGGACCAGAATGAATTATCGAATGTGAACGACTTGTCTTCGAGGACCTTGCCACGGGCTTGAAACTTTGGTTTTGCTAGATCGGCTGGGCTTCGCTTCGGGGCATGTAGGAGCGTCATCTGGGTGTGAGGGTCCATCGAGATGAGACATTCCGCCTGGCGTTGGATTTCTGTTGGAAAGTGGTTAGAAACCATGGGGTCCAGCGAATCCTATGCGGCCCATAGCCTCCCCCGGGCGCACTGCGACTTGTGGGAAATGTCATCATACCTCTAGGGAGAAACTTCCGAACTCGCACCACGACGCGCACATTTCCTCCCGGCGACGGACTGCCAGGTCCATCCTGGCGTGCGACATGAACTGGGATGCCTTCTCGGGCGCGTAATGACGGGCTGGACGCGGTCGATCTGAGCGTGGCGGCGGAGGCGGAGGTGGACAGGATGCTGGGCGACGTGATGCCCGTGGCAGCCGAGAATTCGGAGGAAGAAGCGGAGGAGATCGAACCAGGCCCCGCCTGGTCGATATGGTTGAAGAAGCGCGGATCTAGCGCCATTTCCCTGCTACGATCCCTTAATAATTGAACACAAGCGTCGACGGCCTCGCGTCGTCGGTCGATGAGATGATTGTACATGCAATGAATCGTATACACATGAAATGAGGGGGGAATGAGAGTATATTGGTAGGGATGAGGAATCAAAGGGAAGAAAAGAGTGACGTGAAGTGAAGTGAAGTGAAATGGAAGGGGGGTCGGTACTGTTGTGATGCGCGTTGGTTCGCGGTTCCCTCTGGGGGGAGTTTCAAGTTCCAAGTTTACTGGCGACCTTCGAGTTGGGAACTTCACTGCGGTTCGTTCCGTTGGGCCACCGCGATGTAAACAATCGATCTGGTTTAGACTCTCGGTTTCGGTTTTTAGGCAAGTCGCATGCTGACACGGTCGATTGGAATAGACAAGTTCAATAAATGATGATGGATTGAATGATATTTTGCAATGCAATTGAATCAAGAAAGACTATTGCGGTGCATGGGGTGCGCTATGATCGGGGTTGCCCGTTGCCACGGCAATGACTATCATACACTAGTAGTACTCCGTGCTAGCACTACATTAGCAAGACTAAGTATATCCCACACTACACTGCTCCACATTAACCCATTGTATTGCATTCAATTTAATTTCAACAGTACTGCGAAATATTATTTCTTAATATCCATATTCACGAGGTTCCCCTAGTCAAAGTCCTCGGTCTCCGCATTCATCGCATCAAACAGATCGCTATTTTCATCGATATGGCCCTTCTTTTGGCCTTTCATGGGACCACCTTTGCCTCCGATAGGGTCGGCCACTGGATGGCCCTCGTTGTCCATGTGGCTACTGAAGGACTGGATAGGACTCCATTTGGAACTGTCCTGCTCGCTCCACCCGGACTGCGACTGCGACTGCGACTGCGTTTGCGAGGGCTTTGCGGCAAATTTCGGGTCGGTACTACCAGGGAAGCGCAGGATATTCTCCTTATTGGTCGACATGGTAAATAATTGTGTACCTGATTCTTCCTCGTGGAATTTAGACATTAGTACATTATTATCTTGAGAATGATTGGAGGTATGACCATCTCCAGTGGGCAGGTAGAAGAGATGGGAAGAGGCATGCATACCAAATAGTTGTGATTGCTGAGTAGTGATTGATTTGCAAGATAGTAATTCACTTCATAGAAGAAGAAATCAATTCTATGCAGTTTCAAGGCCTCTATATTTATGAGAGAATGCCCGTGGAGGAAGGTGGCGGATGGCCATTCGATGATATCTTGATGACGATGGCATTTACCACCACTCCATGGTCGCTTCCCCGCATTCGCCATTGGCGATTTACTCGTCGGTGCCACTTATTCTATGCTATTCTCGAACTCATTATCGAGCTGGCCAGTGAATGCCGAAATTTAATCAATCCTGAGCGGGGCTTCAGTCGAGGCAATTCCAAGGCCGCGGGTCCACCCACATCACGGGGATTATTCTCGCCACAAAGCTCTCACCTATGCTCCGGGTTTGGCAAAAACAAACATTATGATTGGACCTGAGGTGGCGAAGGAAGCTAATTTTGTAAGAGTAAGACCTCGACCCATTGAAATCCGGCCAGTAAATAGGTGGAGGTATAACCGGTTCAGGCTATCTCACTTGGTCACAAGCTCAGAGGCATTTTTTGTCCCACCCGGCCTTCCAGGATTGGGTCATTGTTTGGTTAATAATAAACTCTTTGCCGCATTTCACTCGAGCTCCCTCTAGCTCACCTTCATCGTCATACCTGGGCAGCATCCGGACAGCCGGTGATTCCAATTGGTATGCTAAGATGTGTGGCATAAGAGTAGTGACAAGAACCTCGATAACTTCGAGTAAGTTATGTCATATCACAAGATTGCCCTTTTCGATCTTCTCAAACTCTACTAATTATTATCCGATTGCAGCCTGAGGTATTATGTAACGGTCAAGCCTCAATATCACGTACTGCACGCACCATACGGTGAACGGTTGTCACGCCTAGCCTTCGATGCGGCGCTTTATAGCGGCAACCGGCTCAATAGTAGTAATTACTGATTTCAAGAAAAGGTTTTGTAGCCTAGGGCACTATCTCAATACACATCTCACAGGAACATTCATTCGGTTTTCAAATCTTTCCTCTTAGGGTTCCTGACATCAGGTTCGCTTCGCAGTACCACTATTTTGGTTATTATCAAGTCCAATCTTTAATTTATCTAAGATGTTCCTCGAAGGTTGGTTATGCCAGTATTATCATTGTCCTAATGATTACTATACAAACCTTATAAGTCGACAGGTACAGGTGGCTGCTGAGACGGTCAGCCTAAATTGCTGTCCGACTGAACTAGTAGTTGTCGCTATGGAGCGCCGCACTTCGGAGATAGAGTAAGGCCACCATAGAGTAAGCCCGAAGAACTATATTCCTTCAGCCGAGTGAGTCACGCTCCAACTTGAAGTGGGTATTTAATTGCGACCGTATCGTATCAAGGAAGCGGGGGAAATATCAGCTGGAGCTGATAAATTAGAAGTACTATTAGTACTACTACGATTACCTTACGGCAACGATTCAAGTTGAAGACATAGAACTACCACCACCTCATTCAAATTGTGTAACTTGAAGGAACCCCGCAATCCACAACCTGACACAACCGTAATAATTACTACAATATGAGTGACTGCTGCATTAAGGGCTTCCAATGGGACGGTGAACCCAAAGGCCATGAGACAAATCTCGCAGGAAACGCGACCTATGTGACAGGTTCGAACCGCAACGTCGCGATCCTGGTAATCCACGACCTGTTTGGATGGACGTTCCCCAACATCCGGCTTTTGGCAGATTCCTATGCCGAGGAAGTAGACGCTACAGTCTACGTTCCTGACTTGTAAGCAAAATGCATATTCTATCTCTACTATCTATTTGCACCAACACGATATTCCCCCAGCTTCGGCAGCGAAGTCTTGCCATCCGAGATTCTATCGAAGGGTCCCTCCGAATGGGGATCACTGGACCTACCAGCCTTCATAGCCCGCAACACCAAGGACATTCGAGAGCCTGAAATTATTGCATTCGCGAAGGCATTACGCGAGCAGCATCAGAGCATTGGGGCAATCGGATTTTGCTTTGGCGGTTGGGCAGTCTTTCGTCTGGGTGCCAAAACCACAACAATCTTGTCGATTGCATCTCTACTGCACACCCATCTTGGCTCACGGAGAGTGAGATTGAAAATATTGGCGTCCCGGTACAGATCCTAGCGCCCGAGATCGATCCCGTGTTTACCCCCGAGTTGAAAGAGTTTAGCAACCGGGTGATTCCCTCGCTGGGTCTGGACTATGATTATCAACACTTCCCCGGTTTAGAGCATGCCTTTGCCGTGCGAGGGAACCGCACCAACAAGGCTGAAATGAAAGGTCTAGAGAGGGCGAAGAATGCGGCTGTGTACTGGTTCAAGCTATGGCTACACTGATGGTCTCACTGTATATCTTTTATAGAAAATGCTAGTAGTTCCTCCATTGCAAAAGAATAAAGCAGAGGGCATAGTTATTTCAAGTAGCCTATGGCGAAACAGTAATTGAAAATCGTATCCGCACGCCAAATGCCAGACGAAGTGAAACCGGCAATTCGCCCGAGAATTCCACTGGCTCCAGGTCTCACATTTGGAGTGGCGCATATGTAGCCCAATCCATTAATAGCCACTGTTTATCGATCGTGGATCACCTGCAGGAAACGACCCTCAAGAACGGGGCGGACCGGCAACTGGAATGTGGCAATCGGCCAGGAGGGCAGAGGGGGCCTGTTGCCTTCGTCAGGGCCATCAGATAATAATGCCCCTCGCCATTTTAGGTATGGGGTCGGGTGTCTGCACGGATCAAAGCATATAGTGTTTCCTCAAATTCCAGGGTATCACAGAAACAGACCAATCCATTCTAGCCCTCCTTCGACGGGCAGGGATCACCTCTTTGCAAAAATGCCACCGAGTCTACACTTCGCTAACCGCGCATACCTTAAAAACTGGGGAAATGGAGGGGGATTCTCTCGCATATTTGCCTTGCCTCGCGACTCGTGTCAACAATATCTACCCCAATCTGCCAATGCCATGGAGACGTACTTATAAGCGAAGTCTACCCCGGATGTAAATAAATCTGATCCACATAGCGTTTGCTACTGCTTGGGTATGGGGGTCTAGACATTGCGCCCTTCTCCTGCTTTCCTTTACTGGTGGTCTAAAGGAGACATAAGCATTCTTTCCTGATCCCTTTTCTTCTTTTACAACTGCGAGGCCTCCCGGTCATGGATCTACATTTCCCTATTGTCCCATCGTTCCGAGTCGACCGTTTCCAGCCGAGCCCTGCCAAACGATTTATCGCCTCAACTCAACGTCCTGGCTCTCTTGGCCCAGCATATATCGATAATATCTTCCGTGGTCTCAAGCCCGTACATCCTGACCAATTAATGGGAGAATGGGACGGATTCATTCTATCCACAAGCCATCCGTTCGAGAAAGACCTGGAGGAGTTGAATTGGTTTGGCAACACATTTGATTCTACCGAAGATGTCGCTCCATTCATAGTGGCGAGAAATGGGGAAAGAGTACGATTTGAAGATTGGGGAAGTGCTTCGGTGAGTGTCCATAGAAAAGCACCCTTTCGTGTTCAAGCTAACATACTATGTTCTCTTTGGATAGCTACGTGAGGTGAAATACCAAGGTGTGGTCTCCGCTTCTCTGGTCTACGACGAACGGCCAGTTATCGTATACTACCGAGCTGTGCGTTCAAATATGATTGCAGGCGTCATGGAAAGTAAAAGTTTTGGAAAATCAGGAAAGTTCTATTTCTATCTTACGAAGTAATGCATGTACATTAAGAGTGGTTGAAAATACGCATACCGGTGTGAATTCAATTTATTTAGAACTGTCAGCTTAAAGACGAATACGATTGAAAACAAATAAATAAGTTAAAAAGGCAAGACCATTACGACCCTTCAGTGCCCTGCCAAGTACTAGCTATGTCATTGCCAATCCTCTCAATCTTGTCCCACTGCAGACTACTCCACTGCTGAGGTCTCTCAACCGACTCGACAAATTGCCTCAATGCAAGGACGGTCTGAGACGCCCAGCGCTCCTTGCTGACCTTCCCAACACCCGCGGCAAAAGGCGTCATGAGGATCGACCTAATCTTCTTCGAATGGCGACGATTATGACCTTCAATTTGACACATCAGACTCCAAGTACATTCGTAAACAAGCTCCCGGTCCCAGTTGACATTCTGAGGTTCTCTCATAGTCGGACAGACCGCAAGCCAGCGACAGCCACGCGAGTTGCTAGCCAAGGTCAGTCCCCACTCAACGAGGGTGCAGGACCCTGGCGGGGCGAACCCCCGCCATTTGTCGTAGAGAACGGTTTGAGCAGAGCGTGTCACGGCGTGGAAATCGTCAAGTGGACTGAATGTTTTCGAAATAGCCTGGTCGAATGCACCATCAAGGCGACCGTATGAATTGGACGGGGAAACGATCAGGTCGAATTTAAATGACTCTGGGAGAGAATTGAGGCGCTCGTTGATCATGGTGATCTTCACTTTGTCGGGGGTGTATTTGGGCCAGCGGGTCCGCAGTGCCTCTTTGAAGGCATCGATGAAATCTACATCCTGGCAAAGGAGCAGGATCTCAGGAATGTTTGAAGTCATTTTGTGAATGTTTCGAGAGATTTGGGAAAGAGAGAAGATGCGGCTTATTTGAAGGGAAACGGGTGCCTTGGCATACTAGTAGTAACTAATTATCGCTGACAGGCAGACTTGGAATGGAGTCACGCTGCACAGCCTCGTCTCCACTATAAGCCAGTTCTCATCAAGAATTACGTCTATCAGAAGAAACAACAAGGTATCCAATGAAAAGCCAAAAGTTATTAAATTTGCTTCAAACCCCGCTACTAGTATGCACATTGAATCTAGCAATATGTACAACAACATATCGAAAAAGGTACTAGTACTCTAGTATCAGGCGGTCTCCTTCAAATGCATTCACGCTCTCGAAACGGCAAGTATTACCAGACAGTCATTCATTATTCAACTCAAGTCTGCTCAAGTCCGAGGTCCTGCTCCTTTCTCAAGGTAGGCTCATCGGCTGTATCATCTCCTTGGCCCTGTGACTCGGCCCTAGACTGTTCCTGGGTCGACACGTAACGAACCAAGCTCTCACACAATCGATCCAGCACCCATTCTGGCTCCGTCTGATGAGCTAACATGGGACTACTCTCACCGATCCAGTCCCAGTTGAGCACACCGAATTCGTCTTCGTCTGTGGATACACCTCGGTGTTGCTGCTGGCTTCCGGAAGAGGGTCCAGACCGTGGATCTGTAAATTGGATCAAGCGGGTGTGCTCAACCCACTCCTCATACGAATAACGCTTTCGTTTTCCTACTCGTGCATCTTGGGAGGTACGACGAATAGCAAAGGCCAATTGCTGGGCCAGTTCAAACGGGGAGGGGTTCGGCTCACGAGCAAGTTCCTCGATTGTTCGATGTGGACGATCTTGAGATCGACGGCCGATGGGCGCTTCTTCGACATCCTTTTCAGTCTGAGCTGTTGACGGCCGATCATCGGTCGTATCTGCCCCAACTGGAAACCCTCGCTTGAGTCGCTTTTTCTCTTGGCGTTTTTGGAGGAATTTCACGATGAAGGGGAAATGATTAATGCAGGACCGGTATGCGCCAGAACGGGGCATCAGTGTGTAGTCACCAAGCCTTTCCGTGGATTTTTTGTAAGCCGCGACGATAGTATCACTCATTTGCGAGATGAGCATGGTCATAGTCGGAATTGCGATAAGTGACCACATCACGAAAAACGGTCTGCCCGCATTCGACTTGGGCGTGACGTCGCCGTAGCCAATGGTAAGGAGAGAACAGAAGCAAAAGTACAAGCCGTCGAAGTATGAGATATCCTCCAGTCTCCAGAAGACAACTGCTCCGCCTGTCCACACAATCGCGAAGGCGATGATACTTATGAATAAGTCATTCCACCGACGGAAGCGCATGGTATCGTACTGGATCGCCCGCATTGCATCAAATCTATCCTTCTCTTCTCTCATAATAAGGAGTCGAGGTCTACGACCAGCTGCCAAAGTGTGAATGGTGTTGCGAATTGGTTGGTGGCGGTGTTTCCGACGTAATGACATATGGGACAGCTGGCGGGTTAGGGTAAGTGCCACAGGTACTCCGGTTCCTTGCCCAGATAAACCTGCTCTAGCCATGTTGAGATCATCAACAGCAATAGACCGCTCAAAGGTGGCCTGCCGTCTTTGCTCTATGTGCTTGCGCACCACGTTATCGTAGTGAACTTCTCGAGCAAACCGATGAATACTTCCGACCACAAGACCTAGCATGATAATTCCAATCACCGCATACGGCCATATCAAGCCTTTGCCCACTGGTGTATGAGCAACTACATCACCAAATCCTAAGGTGAGGACCGTAATATCGCTGAAGTAGAGTCCGTCTGCAAAGGATATGTCTAGCACGCGCTGGAATATGGCAGCACCGATAATTAGCCAAGCCACAAATCCAGTCATTTGCAGAATTAGGGTGCGTTGATCGTCTGTGAGGGAGAAATGTTGAGGATAGCGGCCAAGAAAGTAGCCCAGCATGTTGATCACCAAGATGACGCTTAGAATGAAATAAAGAATCGCTGCAATGACAGCACTCCAGAAGGCTTGTGAATATACATTATTCGGGCCGGTTGGAGGATCGTAGATCGAAAGAGCTGCAGTGAGCCCGCACAACTATTGCAGGCGTGAGTAAGCGGAAAGAACGATTCGAGGGGGTGGATCTGATATACTCACCATTCCTGTAGCTAAAAACCATGAAATTATCGTCACAGGCAAAGCAATAATGTACCGAACCGTCTGTGTAAAGTTCAACAGCAAGAAAATATTGCCCACGATTCCGCAAACCAGCGACGTCGCATTGAAGGCAGTGACCCTATGAGATACGGTCAGCCGTCAGTGTTTGGATGAATATCTTAATTCGAGTCTAATATTACCAATGAGGATCAGCATAGCCGACTTGAGGCAAGTTCCCGGCTGGTCCAGGTACCGTGGAGGTGACATGGCTTCGCCAGGGCATGACTAGCGCAACAATCGACATGACATTCGCCAGTGGTCCCGCTGCAGCTGCCACCAACGGGATGGCCGTCGATGCAATCCACCATGACTGAGGCTCATCGTCCTCTGGGGGTCTCATATGAAACTGGCTAGTAAATCGGTCCCATAGAGACGGCCGGATATCCCGATGGTCGGTCTGACGCGTCGGATATCCATTCTGCATTGTTCATTCGCCCCGTCCATGGACCGTCGAGCTCGTCCACGGTAGAGGTACAAGAGCAGACGAAGAAGAAAGGAAAAGGTACTAGGAAAAAGAAAAAGAAAATTCTCCAGTCCAGGAACCAAAATTTCGGCAGTTGATCTTGGTGGGGTCCTTTGCTTGAATGCTTAGCTCCGAGCCGGTAGACCGGCAGATCGCAATATTACTCGGGGTGGGCGGCCGCGGTGGTGTTTGGTTTGTCTGTTTGTACTTGAGTTTACTATCTCGAGAGATCGCGATGCTAGCAGGATATTGGAAATTGGAAAAGAGGCCAAGCAGAAGGTGCATCCGATGCTTTACGCCGGTGATGTCAACTCGCGCGGACCCAACAACTTTCGCCGCTTTTTGGATCTGAGCCCAGTCCCGTGACTCTCCATCTTTTTGGTTCCGTCGCCTCAATAGGCAACACGTCAACATCGCAGGTGATGGAGGAGGGATGATATCCAGTCCGAATAGAGGATTTATATCCATGGATATATTCGAGTATAGAGAAGATCCGAGGTTAACATCAGGACTAGGCCAATATTCTAGCGGCTTAAGGTTTGACCGGTTTCCTGGATGACTCCACTGTATGGATCCGATGGAGTTTCTATGTACTCCTGGAGCAAGAAGAATAGAGATGAGAAAATGATATCATACTATCGCCTAGGAAGTACAAACACCCGGGACTCATCAAATCCTGCACTCGAGTGCTTGCCAAAGTACAGGAAACAAGGCAGCCTGGGCACGAATATCATCATCGGACCAGTCAGAAGCCGCCCTGTCACATTTATCTGATTGGCGAAGAAGAGAGGAATTTCCAGATGGTCGGAGGAATCAAGTGTGGAGGGCCAACAAAAGCATGCATTCAACAACTCACTAGCCTATATGTACGTACTGTACTTTGGCCTGTGCAACATCTCTCTCACACCATCCATGTGGCACCTTCGCACTCCCGAGATAACCTCGCATTCCCTCCCCATCAACCTATCATAACCGTCCAACCCTCAGTAACAGCCCTTGGAACCCCTCTTCACCCCGCACCCACATGGCTCCACAGCCCAACACGACATCCCCTCCCTCCCAATAGGATCGCCACGACCCGCTGCAGCCCACCAACTTTGCACATCCCACTACGCCCGGCTGGGACCCTATATGCCGACGAACCAGTAACAAGCGCCATCACCCGCAGCTGCTGCACGTCCCTGGAGGCTGCACGGCGGGTGACATCAGCCATTGCCGTCATTGGTACCTGCTTCCCACAACCAGTCGCCCCCAAAGTATATTCTAGAACGTACGTAGAGGTACACCGGCCGCGCAGGACTGATGCACCGTGCAGCGGCTTTGCAGCGCTTGCCGCCGGTAGCTCATCACATCACTGCCACTTTGGGGGCCCAAGGCGGGGATGGAGGTGACTACGTGGAAATAATGTGACCCGATTACATGAGGGTGAAGACCAAGGATGGTTGAAAAATAACGTAACGAGTGTTTTAAAAGGTCTATCAGATGTTGGGATCGTGGTTCTATATACAACCAGGTTCCTCCTCGGACCCAACATAGCCAGGCAGGATAACAGATACTAACAGTAGCAATAGTAATCAAACGACCGACGAGGACGTTGAGGACAAGCAAACAGAACAGAAAAAGACAAAATAAGTAATTAGCAGTCAAGGAATCGCAGGATGGTATCATCAAAGCAGAATGACACGAACATCGACGACAACAAAGAACAGAAATGCAAAAGCCAAACGCAAAGAGAGCGCCGAGAATCAGAACAAGAAACAAATTGACGCCGCCCCAAGAAGGAAACGCAACAGAAATAGAGGCGCCGAAACCATGGATTCTTTTGGGGGCTCCTCCCGTAGGATGAGAGCAAAAACCGAGCAAAGGTGGAACGAGTAAAAGCCAGCCGAAGCCAAACCCAACGTGCTGCAAATGCGATTCAACAGAAATGTCAAATGCTCCCAGTGTAAAGAAAAAGAAAACGAAAAAAAAACTCAGAGCTTTGACATAGGAAAAGTAAACATAGGAAAAGACAAAAGAAATGTTCATCAAAAAGGTATAACTGGATATCTGTCAGGTCGCTCCTGGGATATCTCCGTGTATTTTCTCTCAGTGTTGTCTTTCGTTGTAAGTTGCAGATTGGTTGCTTGGGTCTATTTGGCCGACGGACGGCGCAAGATATCCTCACAGTTGGCGTCGAATCGCATGTTCCAAAGCCGAATACTATTCATCAGCTTCTCGGTATTCTCCAGCTCGCGATCGCGGCCGAAGATCGACTCGACAAATTCACAGCCTGAATTGCGGCCCATCGATACGGGCGCACCTTTGCCACCACTTTCCCTTTTAGCGGCTTTCCACATGTATAGCTCACATGCCTTGAGCAGCTTCTTGAATCGGTTCCAGAGGCGGTCGCCACTTTCTAAAAAGTCCTCGACGACCTCCTGCGCCTCGATACGCTGGATGCGCGGGAGACACTCGTCCGCTCGCTTCACCTTTCCCGCCAACTTGATCAGCAATAGCCACAGGTCGCCTGCCACGTCAGCCATGGGTGTCGATGCGCCATGGTGAAAGACCGTCCAGTCGTAGATCCACTTGCCGAGGGAGTTGGCGTCGAATACACTGCCCAGCAGAATGATGGGAGCCTCCGTGGGGTCCCAGTTCTTGATCGAATAGCCGGGTGGGATGCCTGCGTTCTCGGCATCCTCCTCGGTGGCGACGGGTGGCGGCTTAGAGGCGGGCGCAGGCTTGGGCTTGTTGGGAGTGCGGGTTGAAGTGGACTGGCGACGGTGACGAGTGCGACGGGCCGCTGATTCGTAATCCTCGTTGTTAGGAACCTGGGTGAAGTAAAAGTGAGAATCAGCGGCTGGGTTTGATTTGCGGTGCGAAGCCGATGTGGTGCGACGATGCTTGGCGGGACCCTCGCGGGTCTGGTCAGCATGTTTGAAGGTCGAGGCCGGGGGGCGGCCAGAGCGAGGCGGACGGGCTTCGCGAAAAGCGTAGCGTGGGAGATGAACATCGAATGCATCTCCGCCCACATCAACAAAGATGGGTCGTTGCTGCGATTGCGAGTCGAATCCAAATGCGAACCCGGGACCAAAGCCACCCCCGTCGGATAGTCGGTTGTGTGGGTGCGACGGTGTTTCGGCATTGCCGCAAAGGAAGCACTTACATGATCGTGCTTTCGCGACGGGATGCCGTAGTCGGGCGTGGCTTCGTAGTAGCTTTGCGGATATCCCGAGTACCAGCCCGGTTCTTTGGTGGCCGTGTAGCTGGCCTTGCGGGTGTGTCGTCGCGATGTTCCTGTTCCCCGGGGTGAAGCGTAGGTGTTGGCATATTGCGAGGCATATTGAGCGTAGTAAGGCGAGGTGGGTGGCGACTGGGTGTAGTCGTAGGCAGTCCACCCGGGTGGTGGGCTGGAGTAATGATACATTATCGAAGGAGCATGGGCAGAAACCAAAGACCGGTCAGGGTGTGGTGAGGTGGTGAAAGTATGCGCGCGCGCGGGATTCGAAGTGGTGTGAGGTTGGTCGGATATCGTAACCGTGGTTCTCTGCAAGGGCTCCAAAATAAACCGAGACAAACAACAAGAAACAAGAACAGGAAAAAGCACCCGAGTATATTATACAGGATATCGCAAGTGAGCAAAATGGACGCCGAGGGAGAGTTTCCAAGAACAAATAAGGTCGAGTAGGACCGTCACCGTGGTACGGTTTCCGATCGGAGAGAGGAGGGTTGAAGTTGAATGTGCTGAGAGTGCATTTGAACGATATATACGAGCTGATAGAAGGCTCGAGTGGCGCTGGGTTAAGGATCCTGGAGAAACTGGACCCAAAAATGACTCTTAAGGAAAAGAGTCCCAAGAGATGAGGAGTGAAAGAGAGGGCTCCGTGGTTTTGGATCAGCCGAAGCAGGGTGGAGATGGGAAATTTTCAACCCAAGGGAGAGAGAAAGGTGGTACTTTAGGGAGTGGAGCGTGTGGGAGTTGGCGAGGTGTGTGGCGTTTGTGGGTAAGCGGATTACGTGCCCTAGTGTGTACGACCAGTATGCACGGGTATTTTACGCTTGATACGGTATATTAATATCAATTAATATCATTCATATTGGGGCAACACCTATGTATCATAATCTACATTCCATGATTTATTGTTTTATTGATTCCAGCTGAGTGAAGGGTAATAGGTCAAGGGTTAATACCCTCTATACCCAGGTGGTATTCCACTCATCATGAAAGTACCAATGACTCCATTCAAATCACAGCTACCCACTCATTCGCCAACTCGCACCCTGCTACCCCTCAAACTAGCCCGGATGGAGACCCTCTCCTTCTCTTCCTCTACAGTATGCAACCACTAACCACTAACCACTAACCACTGCTGACGCCCTCCCCCCTCCTTCCCCTCCTCGGGCAGCCGACAACTGCAGCGCGAGCTTCCCGTTGGGCAAAACCGGATGACCCTGTACAAACAGCCAACAACGCAAAACGAGTCATGGAAGAGTCATTGTATTTTGCCATCGTATAAGTTTCAACATGGTGGGATGGCATATCTCGCCACTGGCTGGATAGGATAGCCACTCGGAGGAATTCTATTTTAGAGCGTTCAGCTACCGGCATTCTTGCGGCGTGTCAGGCCTCCGTTGGACCGTCGCCATGTGTAAGGCTTCCAGAATGGGTGCAATGCCATGTTTTGCTGGGTCGTAGTGGATGTACAGTTCATCTGCATGAACCCTGAGTGCCTTAGTTGCAGCATGTCGTCGCCAGATCAGGTTTAACTCTTGCGATATGGACTTGACCCAGGCGCAGAGCAATCAAATAGGACTCCATACATACATATATGTACATAGATAGGTAGATAGATACGATCATAGGGCAAATCTTCCATACCATACATATACTATCATAATAGTATATATGTACATACTACACACTGCATATCACATACTGTACGTCGTTCTTTCACATCCGGTTCCATGGTTGGCCAGCGGCTGTTCGATCATAAACCGGAGTTCAGGACGGCCGATCCCGTCTCATCCAGCGGTTCCAACTCCACAGACCCATCTTCAAACTACCCAAGAAACCCACTTGCCCACCCATGTTGCCATGGCAAGGCCTTGATACAAAGCCCCCATCAATATAATACAACCATTCAACTCTTCTTATTTACACACACATACACACATATACGGACTCGATCCGGCTCGTTGGGTACTCCACGGACCACGCATGGGCTTTACCGCTACCGTCGCTGGGCAGCAACCGCACAGCTTTGGGCGAAAATGGGGTTGGTTGAGAAAGGGCTCGCAGACCGCAACTTGCTTGTCCACCTTTCAAATGCACCAGTGGGAGGTAAGTAATCACCAATTTCTATCTGTGTGCCCTCAATTCAGCCCGTTAGCGAGGCATCCCAGGGTATATCGCAGGAATGGCGCGGCTGTGTCGCCCGTTTCTAATTCTATCAAGGCGCAGGCGGCATAGAACCCCACGCAGGCAGCAGGGAGAAAATTGTCTTATCTTCGCACGAGACCATCTCGGCGATACCAATCATTGACCGTAAGGTAACTACGGTTTCTAACATGAATCCATATTGTCCATGTGGGGGGGGAGGGAATGGTAGTGCGACCGCTGCGAAAGCCCTAAACTCAAGATGCACTTTTGATCGAGGATTGGCTGCCAAGTGTTGGATTCACGACCAACCCAATCTAGTGAGACAAGATTGGATACAAAAGTACCATACCTACAGACCTAGGTAAAGCAACTCACATGAGTTGACCTCCAGTCATCGATGAATCATGGCTTTCAGCCTCTTCACATTCATAGTTATTGGGCGTCAAGTAACCAACGACCCAGGTCCGCTGACCTGACCCTCAAATACGGCGCTCTGTTAAGCTCACGCACCAACCGCAGGGATAAAGTCCACCCAACCCCGTCCTTACAGGGAATTCCAGGACTCATCCTTGATTCCAGGGATTGAATCACCGCCGCGATGAGTCAACGTGCCCTTGGGATTGATGAATTATTACCCCCTTAGTTCCAGAGTTCCAGCAACCCGGCGTTTGTAGGCAGCCAAACGGAGCGCAATCCTGCGCCACTGAAAGGCACCGCCGATCTTTCAGTGTTGCACATGGCGTTGGGGCGATTTACCCTGCAACAAAAAAGAGATTTCATCACAAATTATCCAATACTGAACGATTAATAATACATGGAAATGCGAAGCAACTAGAAGCTGCTCGCATCCGAATCGGCCCCTACCTCCAGCTCTACCGGTACAGTACATAAACACATGCAAAACTTGAATGATCGACCAGTGACAGTCGAGAATACTCTTGCCACCGTCTTCACTTCAGCTAAGGCGATTCCCCGAGCTGGGGTACAGCGAGAGGGGCGAAACTGACGTCGAGGTTCGCCTTCGCTTCTGGAACAGGGTTTAGGGCCAGGACCCAGAAGACCCAGAAGACCCAGCCGGGCCCAGTCAAACTTCCAGAGCCCACGATACGGCCAGTCGCAGCCCGCACCGCGGCCCGGCACAGGGGCAGTGGGGCCAACGGGCCTTGGTGTCCGGGATGCAGTGCAGCTCTGTAGGAACCAGATGCGGTGCACAGACGTAAGATTCTTACATATTATGCGCATCTCGCAGGAGGCCGTAGGCCGTGGTTGGTGTGACCGGCTTCCTAATAGTAGTAAGCTTACTGTAGTGCGCAGCTGATATATCTGTATGCATGTACACAGCAGTGCAGTACGAAGTACAAAGTACCTACCCTGATCCAATTTTCGATGTTGGATGTTGGGTGTTGGATTTTGGCGGATACACCGCTACGCTAGTCTTATCTAGAAGAAGAAAAGAAAGTCAGATCCATAAAAGAGAAATCGCTCAGGGGCAAGCGCGTGCGCATAATCGTTGACGGATGGGGCCCACGGAGAACGGAGTACATGGAAATTAAATTGATTCACCAAATGGCCCGCCTCAATTTCAAATGTCTTGTAGACCCCGCCCAATGAGCTGCGGCTCTGCTGCGGATCTGATGAATCACGAATCATGCGTCTCCTCCCCCTTACTTTGGATCGAGTGCATCAAAAACAACATGGGCGAGCGATTCTGCACTGCACGCCTGATTGGCCCGACCCTGTCTTATTATTGTTATGTACGGAGTGTACATGCAGATATACCGTACGGAGGACATCGGTAGGTATTTTTCTTCTAGCTGGCCAAGCACAGATTCCTCGGGATCTGGACTGGTCGGAATCTTCAGCAGGTTTTACAGTATGTATTTTTTATTTTTACATTTTGAAAGGTTTCGCAAAAGTATGTTGTATGTTGTGCGTAATGTAAGTGCACTGATCACGTAGAGGTCAAGGCATGCCCTTGCCCTGAGCCCTAGTTCCTTTGCTTACGTCCGAAGGAATGTCTGATTTCACGGGGGCCAATGGACCGAGGTCAGGAATAGGAGCCCCGTGGAAGGAAGGAAAGATACTTTCCGCGTCGAGCCCCGAGGTCAGGGGTATGGGGTTTTCTGGTCCTTCTAGATTGATTGTCGGAGATTAAGTGGCGTGGCTTGGTTTCTCTAGTCGGCTCTTAGTCTTCCCGACGACGGGCCATTATTAATCGCAGATCGTGGGGTTTAAACTTCAAATCCTTCAGGGCTAGAAGAGTCGAATTATAGATTAATATGGTAGAAAAGAAGGCGCTGCCTGTGTCTATTGCGTGGGGTATAGTATAGTCTCATATTGAGAACTATGGTCTGGACAAGCGCATCCAGGAAGTATAAGCGGTTGGACCGAGTTATGTACATGAACCCATTTTCGATACGATAATGGCATCAAATCGTCAACTGTGCAAGGCTCCCGGTCGCTCAGAAACAAGAAAATACCACCCAATCTCAACAAGGAGACAAAAGAGATCCCAAGAACTTGTGCCGCTAGTAAATGCCAGCGGTTGTATACCGTGTGTTCCAATGATGAGAGAGGGAAAGAGAAAGCCGTAAAATTATGCCACCATGTACTCTCCGCCGCCTCGTTTGGCCTGCATAACGCGAGACCAGCGGAAAGCTTGAGAGCTAGGAGGTCCACCGGCATTTAGCATCGGGGGAGGACCCAGCCCAGAGGGATAGACTGGGAAGGACGACTCCTCAGAGTGATCCGCCCAGATCCGTTCCAGCAGTTCCAGGCAAGAAATATTATTCACAAATCCCGAGTCCTTAGATATGTCTTTGCAGCGGCGGCGGATTGCATCGCGATGATCTTCTTGGATACACTCTGATCCAACGATGAATAGAGGCCAGAGGAGGTAGACATCGGATTGGACGGCACAGAGACAGTGCATTGCGAGGTGGACGAGATGCTGGATGCGCGGATGACTGGATGGAAGACTGGGCTCCGCTAGGCGTTCACAGTAGAGAAGCGCCGCATGGCGGAAACACTCAGATATTTGATATACATCCTGAAGGTTTTCATTGGCCACATAGAATGACCCCGAGGGAGGAGCTGGCGTAAAGGTAGGGGTGAAATTGGGAGAAAAATTAGGAGGGAAGTTATCGGAGGCGGATGGGGGTGGTGATGGGAAAGAGGTCTCTGCTGGCGGGTCAAATCTCCAGGATTCGAGTCGCTGTCGCAATGAGAACCATTCGGTCCAGAAGGCTGGCGATGAAGGCTTTTGGGCCTGATCGCTACTTTGTGGTGGGGTTGGCATGGAGAATCCAAAGTCGGGGCCTCCCACCATTGATCCTGGGACAGTGTTGGTGGCGATGGGAGCAGGAACAACCGTATCCCAGCCAGGGAAGAGCATATTAGGCGGGAGAGATGTAGTAGGCACATTCATGTCGGCCGGTTGGGCGAGATTAGGCTCTTGATCCTGACTAAGGAGATTCAGTCGGCCAAGCTGGGAGATGAGCTTGAACAGTCGGCCGTCACAGCCCGCCAGGTTTTCTAAACCCCACTCCCCATCGGTCGTAGAGCTGATCTCCAAGCATTTACCGCGAAGCTGGACATCTCGGTCGTTGGTGGTGGCGGTGAGGGTATCAAACCATGAGAACATGCGAATAAACCATTTGAGGTCGTTCGTCACGACACGAGAATGACGCATGCGAATCGCAAGTAACCTTGTCACACCGGCGAACTGGGTCCGGAATTCAGCAACACCGGTATCACAGCCGTGGAACAAACAGAGAATGAGCAATGTTGCCAGCACCGAGTCTGATAGCCTGCGGCGTGGATCGGCCAGGTCGGCATTCAATGCTTTCACTGCCATTCCACGATGGTAGTTCTCCTCTCGCGTATAACCCTCTGACATTGAGATCCCATATGTATCTTGAAACAGTTCATCTGTGAGAGCGCGGTGGGCCAGTCCTGACATACGCGCTGGCAGGGTTCTCTCAGTGGAGTGATGGTTTTTCTCCCGGCGCTGGCGGAGGTTACTAGTTGCCAATGTCGCAATAGCCTCTTGGAGAGCCTCGCTTCCCAGAGCTAGGCGAAGGATATGGGTTTTGAATGGATTTGTGGGTGTGTCAAAGGCAACAATCATGGGAGCGATGACCTCGGTATAGTAGCTGATTAGATACCGAAGGCGCGGGGTACGACCTATAGACCGCGCCAAAAGTAATTGAGAGTATGAGGGCGAATGGCCGGCATTCCACGCAAATTGGTCGCGCTCGTATCTTTCCAGCTCCTCATCTGCATCTTGTGAGGGTGGCGTGGCATTGTTGGCGGGCCAGTTCCTCGCAACGGGCCAAGCAGGTGTGGTAAAAGAGGCCTCAGGGCTTACTGTAGGGGCATAGTGCATGGAAGCTTCCGATAAACTGGGACTCAGTCGATTAGAATTAGAAACCATTGGCCGACTAGGTAGCGGCAGTCCAGATATTTGCGGCGGCGCAGTTGTCATGTTGGTCCATGAGTGCGGGTCGGGCATATCCATCGTCCAGGCCATGGTCCGCGACATATCAGGCGTATTCTGCATATTCTGCATGTTTGACGAGTTTGGCATCTCTGATGCGCGCCGGGTATCTGATCCAACTGCTTTCAAGCCTCCAACATCGATGAGCGGGGTTTGTGTCTCGGATAGAGGTATCTGCGTCGGGGCCGGTGCGGAGGATGGGTTGGCCGGTATTGATTGCGACGGCGGCTGGCTCTGGCTATTGGAAGGTAGTGGTTTTTGTTCCTTTGCAGTGCTCGCACCAGCATCCTCCTTTGATTCCATCACGGGTAATTTCTGACCCCGAAGCTTCCCTCGACTGGCGACTCCGACTCCCCATGTCAACGTAGTTTTGTATCCGGAGCATTCGCGGCCCAGCTCGAGGCACTGGGAGCAATAGGGTCGGCGTCGGTCGCATCGAGCACCGCGTTTCGAGCAGGTGAAGCAGTCATCTGGGGCACCGCTCACCACCGTTCTCTTTCGTCGCTTCCGGATCGGAGCATTCGGATCGGTCTTGCGGGATTTTGCTTTCGTGGGCTCTCGGGCCGCCTGTCCTGCGTTCTCGGACATTATGATCTATAGGCGCAAAATAAATTGAGAGCTCCCATTCGATTCGGAGGTAGGGGAGAGGAGTGGGAAGGGTAGGCGAGAGATTCGTGGTTCATTTCCCCCCAGGAACAGCCGGCGTTATGTTCACTGGAGGATCTGAGTACCCCCGAGGGTAGTCGATGTGGGTCCTGAAAAGGTTGAGACGGAGACCATGCGAGATGAAGACGAACTTCAATGGAACATAGTTTTTAGTGGTGTGCGGGGAGGTCAAGAGGGGGGAAGCGGAGGGTTTTCAAAGTTGTTGGGAGGGGAGAGAGAGCAGATTTAAAGTGGGAGGCGACGGAGGTGGTCGGTGGATATGAGAGATCTGCCCGGTGGAGGATGATCCGCGGTCTAGTCAAAAAGAGATACGAGTAACTCTGTAGGGAGAGAGAGAAAGTGAACTACAATGGGTCTCGCTTGCGTACGAACCCTTTTAAAGAAGTAACGTACCCACCAGGGTCGCCGGTAATCAGCATGCCACCTCATGGAGGATCTACTGGAACTTTTGGCGCAATTTTAAGCCGAAGGGCCCCCGGGGATTCCGGACACTTTGCCGGTCTGATGTTGGCACTAGAAGCCCATCAGAAGCCACTAGACGGTCGTTTCACTCTTGCCCCAGTTCAACTAGTAGTAGTTACTGCTAGAACACTGAACAGTTTCATGATCTACTGTTGGACTTCCCTTTTCCCTTCCCAATGGTCCCAAACCTTGATCCCTGATCCTGATGATCGGAGGGGGGGTTGAGTGAATTTTGGGTCTCCCCAGTGGGACTGGCAGTGGGCATAGTGGTAACTATCGACCATCGACTACAGTACACTTTCTCCCCTTTCCCGCGTTTAACACTGTCCTCCCTCCAAACATCCTCCACCTCGCCCCTTGATACCTAATTACCCGGACACACTCTCTCCTTCTCTCCCTCAATCGCTGATCTCCTAAACTCTTCCAACTGCATCGATCGGCGCGCGCCCGTGCGCCACCGGCTCGCTCGAACCCTTCCCCTGTGCCTGTACCGACCCTCCTCCGACACAAAGCGCAAAAGCCACCAACCACCTCCCCCTTGGGTCCAGGATTCACGTCGCTCAGATTCACACACAATGGGTGTCTTCAGACCGGGCCGAGCGAGGTCCCTGGTCCTCGCGATGCTCGCTCTGATCCTAGTGTGCACGGTCTATCTCTATTGGAGTCCAACCAGCGCGTCCTCGACCGTCTCCGTTGTCCCGAGCACGGCCTTCGAGGTACCCTTGGCAGAACGTCAGAAAGATTTCTGGAAAGCCCTCCAACCCATTATCGAGCGACATAACCCGAATTGTCCATCGCCGGAGAAACTGGACGATGCCAGCGGCCTCCACTTTGACCCTACGAACGACCAGCCTCGGCCTGATCTGACCCGGATGAGCGAGGAGAATGTGAAATCAATGGAGCTCGCCCATGCCGCTTTCCTCGAGGATGTAAAGCACGCCGAAAAAGACCTCAAACCTGTCCATACACCCGGGAAGCGGGGATTGGTGTCAACAGCTGGTGCGACCTACCTTCCAGTCTTCGTCTCCTCACTCCGCATGCTCCGCCGAGCGGGGTCAACATTACCGGTGGAAGTATTTATGAAAGATGCCGGGGAATACGAGAAGCGTGTGTGCAGTGAAGTGCTTCCCATGCTCAATGCGCAATGTTTAGTGTTGGGTGACGTCGTGGGCAAGAGCGTCATCGAGCATTATCAGCTCAAAATATTTGCCGTGCTTTTCTCCTCCTTCGAGGAAATCGTTTGGATGGATGCGGACTGCTTCCCACTGGGCAAACCGGAGGATCTACTCGACTCGGATCCCTTCAAATCCAATGGGCTAGTGACCTGGCCAGACTTCTGGGCTTCCTCCGCGTCTCCTTTGTACTACAAAATCTCGCGTCAAGAAGCGACACCCATGACGGTGCGCCAATCTTCGGAAACTGGGATTTTCTTGGTTTCGAAAAAGACGCACATGCTTTCGCTTCTGCTCGCTGCGTATTATAATTATTATGGCCCGTCGCACTACTTCCGACTGTTAAGTCAGGGTGGTCCAGGAGAAGGTGACAAGGAGACGTTTCTACAGGCCGCAGCCGCTACCGGTGCCCCATTTTATGCTGTCAGTGAGAGAGTGCAGGCGATTGGGCATTCGACTAAAAACGGTCTGTCTGGTTCTGCAATGGCCCAGTCAGACCCACGCGAAGACTTTGCGCTCACTACGAAAGACAAATGGCGAACCAAAGACCCAGCGGTTGCCCCGCCTCCGCCTATCTTCTTCGTTCATGCCAATTATCCGAAATTCAATCCGGGAGACAATGTCTTCGGTTCGAATTGGGAAACATCGCCTACCCTGAAAGCAAGACGGGTCTGATGGGCGGGCATGGACAGCCCCTCCAGAAACACTCAAGCGATTCGGTCAGGATGCGGAGAGAGCCTATTGGGAAGAAATTAAATGGGTGACCTGCCATCTTGAAGGCTCGTTCAAGTCGTGGGAGCACAAGGCTGGTCTTTGCGTGAGGGTTGAAGAATATTGGCATAACGTCTTTGCCGAAACGCACAATGATGACCCGAAGTTCACCCAAGACGGCTAATTGGATTGAGGCTTTTTATGGCCCACCGCTCCGCCAGTCATTACTCTGCCGGTTCTAATTCCCTTCGTCGCATGATAGTGCATACTTTGTACTACACCTGTACTAACTTAATTGAGCGTTATCTCACTGTACAATAGCCACATGGCCCTGATGTTTTTTTATCAGGGCTCTGCTGCACATAAAAGCATTTAATACAAGGAACGATTTATGATAGAACTACGCTTGAACAACTCTTTTTGATCGCAACTTTTGGCACTGAAACGCTTCATTTAAAACTTTTCTCGCCGTCAAGGCAAGATTTAAGTGGTGTTTCGTCATATCATACATAAGTTATATCCCCCCAAAATCCCGCTCTATCACAAGGCATCAATGCCAGGGGTATTATGATAGTTCATCACAGCAGGATGGAATAATTTATTTCTTGATGCCCTTCTCGCGCAGGCGCTGCTCATCCTCGGCCTGGAGCTCGGCATCGATCTTGGCGCCCTTGGATGGGTTGTTGCCGTGAAGCTTAGCCTAGAGAAAGTATTAGAATGGGACTTGCTTCTCATGTGAAGATTCATCTTTGTTTCTTACCGGCTTGGTAGGATCTTGCTTGCTGAGCTCGGCCTCCTCGTTTTGGACGCTGTTGTGGTGGTGAGAAGAGTCTCCCTTGCCCTCTTGCGAGGCAAGCTTGTTGGCAATAGAACGCTGGTCCTTGGAGTCCAGGTTCTTGTGGCTGCCCTTTTGGCCCTCGTTGTGACGCTCAGGCTGGTTGGCGGACATGGGCGCGTTGCGTTGGTCGCCAGCTTCATAGAAAGCGGCGCCGCCGACGTTGGATTGACCAGCTCCGTGCATACCAGACATATTGATATTGTCGATGAGGAAAGTGGTGAATTGAAAATTTCAAGCGAGAAGAGAAGCGAAGGGTAGAATCGGATGTTCTTAGACAGAAAAAGAAAAGCTTTTTGAGTTGTTATTTCATCTAGAGGGGTCCGAACCAGGTTGGTCTTATACCTTGACCGGGCATCTGGTGTGATGTCATGCTAGAATCACTGAGATCATAGTTGTGGGGCGAGGTCACAAATTGTTGGAAGAACCAACATAGCTGTGGGCAATCGATCGTGTGAGTATCTGCTGGACCCTTCTTCGATGTTCAGAGCCCTTACATCAGAGGAGAGAAGACCCAGGAAAGAGTTTGATGGGTTGCACTGACGATGCGCAACAAAATGTAGACTGATGCTTCATCAGACTAGCCTAGCTCCCGCCCCACTGCGCCTCCCGCCGACCTTATATGATACATATCACTTACGAGTATTGCTTAATGGCAGAGATTTGGCTCTTAATAATCCCATCTACAGTTCAACGTATTATACTCTTTTTGAAACAAAGCAATCTGCACCTTAATTATGCTCTCGGGATCGTACAATGTATCATATCGTTCTGGCTGTGTGTTGCGGCTCCAGCGGGCCTTGAGAGTCGCAGCCCACCGCTTTTGAATTGAGGCGCGACACCTTCAAGCTGGTCATATCCTCTTCGAACATCTTGTATGCGCCTCGTTAAAGCCCTTCCCAGTGTCGTACCCACGGCATTGAGGTCCAGGTCTTGGTCCCCCAGTCAGACCTCAATGCTGCACCGGATCACAGTGGTCGCCGCGACCCACTCCGGCCATCGGAGTCGATTCTGCACACTGCAGCTGTAAGCTCGCCATCTCCCCTCATACCGTCGGGTTCTTCTTTTGACGACGATTTCCCTGAATACACAAAAAATTTATATCTAATCTCATACACCAGCCCATCTCTTGTTCACCAGATATTCTCGCCATTCCACCGGCAATTCATTACCTGCCGCACAATGAGTTCATCCGCCCCCGCATCAACAGAGGTGCAACCCCGCTTCCAACAGCTCTTTGCCGAACTGGAGAAGCGATTCCGATCTACCACCCTAGGCGACGATAAATGGTACATTCTCGCGACCTCTACACTGGCAGCCAGCCCGGACCCGGAACGTGCAGACCAGCTGTATCAATACATCTGTTCTCAACCAGGCTACTCAACCTCCCCCGCACGACAAGCCTTAGTCCGCCGTCTGCGGGAGGCCCTCATTAAGTCCGTTCCAATCGTGGGTGTCTGTAAACCCATTGAAGCAATTCTATCCATCAGCAAAGTCGAGCGGGAAGAGGACAAGGATTACACCTTTACCCGCGAGGGATGGCAATGTGACCAGGCAAACCACGACCGCGGCGCGGAATGGATGCAGAAATTATATTCGCGCAACACGACAGGCACGCTGAACCTGTTTAGCGCGCATAAGGATTTCTCCTGGTTGTCGGAGGAAATCACCTACGGTCTCTTCCTTTCTGATCGCCAGGTTCTGGATGATGTTGATACTCAGCTGGTTGTGTTGCCGGGCATTATGAGCCAGAATCTGCCGAATGAGACTCATTGGCATATTCGTGGCACGAGGCGCTTAGGGCTGCCTAAGGAAGAGGTTCAGATTATTTGGGACTGTGTGCAGCTGGTTGCCCAGTTCTTTGAGATCAAGTTGAACAAGGTGCCCACTGTCGAACAGGTGGAATATGATGTTTAGATGGATAGATTAGAGAGTGTATAGACAAAATTTGACGAGACAAAACTTCCAAGCGAACTTGAATGTCCAACTTGAAGTTACTAGTACTCTGCTAGGTATATATTTTGCGAGTTCCAACTACGGAGGTTCATGCCATCCGAATTTCCCGACAATCCATTGTACCTCGATAGAAGGAAATGGATTCTGCTTGAAACCGAGAATTTACATTCAAGTTTGAATTGGAAATACTTTTGAAAATCGTAATTTCCATAGCTCCAGTGGTACTAAATCCCCAAATATTATGTAGTACCAGGATGGCTCCCTCAGGCACGTCCCGGTTGACCTCACTGATAACACGATAAGAAAAAACTTTCGAAAGCCTCGCGGCCGAGAGCAACGGGGCCCGGCAGATGGGAGCGGAGTGACTTCAACTCCAACTTCCCTCCGCTTCGGCATCTATTTATTCACCTAGAATACCAGAACACAATGGTTAAGCGCAAACAAGATCTCGGCGATGTGCCCATGGGCGGCACCAATGCTCAGGATGAGGACTCTGACTCTGTGCGAATCCCCCCCCCCCCCCACCTTGCACAGCTCCGCTGCGAACAGCGTCTAACTTCCTATAGGACATTGACATGGTCAATGTTGATTTCGAGTGGTTTGACCCGCAACCTGCCGTCGATTTTCACGGCCTTAAGAATCTCCTCCGCCAACTATTCGATAATGACGCCCAGATCTTCGACCTGTCCGCACTGGCCGACCTGATTCTGTCGCAGCCAACGCTGGGCTCGACCGTCAAGACAGATGGCAACGAGTCGGACCCATATGCGTTTTTGTCAATTATCAATTTACAGGAGCACAAGGTACGCTTATGATATGCATTGCTCCGGTACCAAGCATGAGCTAACAAGCGACACAGGACAAGCCCGTTATCCAGGACCTGACCAAATACATCAAAACCAAGGCCGCCGCCAACCCCTCCCTCGCCGCCCTCAATGAGCTCCTTTCCCAGAAAACCGTCCCACCTATCGGCCTGGTTCTCACCGAGCGTGTGATCAATATGCCAGGCCAAATTGTTCCGCCCATGTACAATATGCTGTTGGAAGAAATGGCTTGGGCGATCCAGGACAAAGAGCCTTACTCCTTCACTCACTACTTGATCATCTCGAGGGGATACGAGGAGGTTGAGTCAAAGCTTGATATCCAGGAATCACGCCCGCAGAAGAAATCAAAGAAGGGGTCCAAGGAGAACCCGCACTATTTCTTCCACCCGGAGGACGAGGTGCTGCAGCGCCACGCACTATGCTCGGGCACGCTCGAGTTCACGCACCAGCAGGATGACGGCCACTCCGACTCCAAGCGAGCATTCCAGGAACTTGGTATCCGGACCAACGGCAGCTTGATTCTCATCGACGGTGCTCAGTTCGAGCCGGCCGTTAAGGCAGTGGGGGAGTATCTGTCTTAAAAGAAGTCTGGATTGGTTAAAAAATACACCAAATGAGAGATCATTCATTCAATTCATGTCCGATTTACGAACTATTCTATGCGCTGGATTCTTCTTTTTTGGATTATTCAGTCCCTTTCTCCTCTGTATGCTAGCAGCTTGAACTTTATAGAGATCACCAAAAGAGCCAAAGGTTCATAAATTCATGTCGATAAGCCTCCTTTCTACTTCTACTCCCATTGAGTACCCTTGAGACGTTGCATCAGGTATTCGACCTCAACCACCTTTGTGAGAGGAATCACGCATTCCTATCGAAATTAAGTCAGCAATGGCTATTTTAAGAAGCGCCGGGTGGGGGTTTCTTCTCACCTTATACATGGCCACCACCGCCTCAGCATTAATCTTCTGACCCTTCTCATCCGGGAAAGCAGGATCAGTGCCATAGGTCTTGGCCTTGAGCCCCAAGCGCTCAAGCACCTTCTGCTCAACCTTAGAATCGGTAATGGCGGCATCAATACCAGCCCGATCCTCAGCCTTGATCAAACGGACAAAAGTCTCCGGATCCTTCTGAAACTTGGACTCGGCGACGAATTTGCCAAAGTGGATGCGGCGCGAGAGCGCCTGCAGACAGGCGACATCGCACGTGGCCGCAGAGCCGTAGTTCTCCTGCGTCTCGCCGCGGTCCTCACGTCCAAATTGAGTACACACGGCCGGCAGGACCTCACTCACATAGCGGTCCTTGATGACATCGTTGACGTTCACGTCATTGTCGTGGAGGATGCGGGGGTATTGGAGTGGCTGCAGGATTGGCTCCTCGAGCACCTCGGGGAAGAAGGGGTATTCATCGGGTGATTGGTAACGGCGAAAGCGTGACTGTATACGTTCTTGCTCGCTGAGCATGTAGTCCATCAGGCCCAGGTTGCTGTTTGGGATCTTCACGCCGCCGGGGACATAGACGGTTTTGTTGAGAGGGAACTGGACCCGTTCGATGAAGTGAAAGGTGATGGTGTCCTCGAGCCGACTTGAGGCCTGGAATGTTAATAGCGGTTCTCATGGTGCTACGGTTTGTTGAATGCTTTATGTGCCTGTAGCTCTGGCGGGGCGCCGGGGGGAGGGGGGGGATTGCGCTGGGATGGGAGGTTTTTGGTATGGAGAGTTGAAGGGATTGGAAAGGCTCACATCAGCTGGAAACGGATATTTGCGAGGTCCAATGCCTTGGAGGCATCGGATAAGTCAATGGCGGTGTCCATGGCTTGAGGAGTGGTGAGTTGAAGAGAAGAAGAGCTGCCGAAGTCGGAGTCGATTAGTTTTCTCAAATCGAATGGCGGGTCTCCAATATTTATTGGAGGGGGAGGTTGTCTACTGGGGAAGGCAATGGGTTGTGCGAACTACGCAGAGGGATTCTTTTCGCTTTTGGATCCCGGTCTGGGGTAGTGGCAGCTTTTTTCATGCAAAAGAATATATATTCAGTTTTATATGTGATGTGGTGCTTGCTTGTAAGTACGCCTCCTGCGGGTAGTCGGTACATGATGAGTACCGAGGCCAGTGCATGAGGAAGAGAATAGCTACTTGTACCGGTCAGGTATAGGGAACCCTAGCCACAAGCACCTTGCAGCTCAGTCGCTAGTCTCCGGTAGGGGTGAATGCATAGATTGACTCGTCAATTTAGCGGACAGGGTGCTGCGTGAAGCTGAAACTGAAACTGGCCGTGTGAAAAGGTAGTGTCCGGGCGCCCGTAGCCGGGGAACGCGGTAAAGCCTGCGCGTGACGATTATCTCTCCTGCAACCTCCGAATCTCCCACCTTTCCAACTGCGCATGGGCCTTGGTTGAACCCAAGAATCTCTCCGGCTATGGAGAATAATCACCGCCGTGATGACTCGCCCACTGGGTTGTCCGATATCGAAGAGGGCGAAGGCCTCTTGGGCACCGGCCTCACGGTATGCTTCCTCTCTCTTTCTCTCTTTTCTTTTTCTGGATTCCTCTTTTGGTGGTCTTCGCGAGTAGACCCCTCCATTCGATCCTGCGAGCTGACCATGATGCGCCATTTGGAATAGACCCGCCATATTGAAGCATTTGGGCGAAAAGTCACATCGACCGCTGGCCATTTGATGGGTCCCGCGAGCAAGGTCACAGCACCCATTTTCATAATGCTATGACGGACATCCACCGCGAGCTGCGCCGGCCAGCAGCGCAACGTAAGGTCTTCACTCTGACCCAGACGACCCCGACCGACCTCGTGCGATCCAAGCTCTCGACCTCGGAAATCCAATCGCGAGCCGTTTCCTCGCTCCCGGACGACCTTCTCGATAACCTCCCCGAAGACCAAAGTTCCTACTCCCTATTCCAGGGCTTCCAGGCCTCCCTCCCCGAAGATGAACGTACGAATAAGAAACACCGAAGACGCACCTCCAAGGGGGGGGAAGTTGTTGAAGGACAGCGAGAAAGGTGGGCTTTTGACAGCTGGTCCGGCCGGGTTGAAGGAAGAGCGGAAGGTGTTGAATCGTCGTCTGGAGCTGATGGGCGTGCGCAAGAACATGTGCAGCGCTGAGATTCACGAGATCGATAACAAGATTGCCAACTTGCACAAAATGCGTCAGATCGTTCTTGATCGATTAGCCGGCCTAGAGATGGACGAGGCGTCATTAGAACACGAAGGTGGGTTCCTTCTCTCTGACGTTCTAGAAGTCGACGGGAATTCGCTCTAAACTAATGAATGCAGTTACGGAAATCGATAACAAGCTAGAGGACATGCAAGAACAAGAGGAAGAAACTGCCGAAGACTCTACTGCAGCTGAGACGCCAAAGTCATCGGAGGCCCAGGATGATACCATTGGATCTTCTGGTGACCCGGCCATGGATGCTTCATTCATGTCCGAATCGATCTACGAGAAACTCCCCACTCCATCACCAAGAAGCTTGCGACATCGCTCGATACGTATGGACTCCAATACCCAGTTGCGGACTGCTTTGTGACTGACCTGAGCTCTTAGGTAAACGATCGATGCCGATTCTTCACGAGCATTTCGCTCCTGGCTCTTTAATTAAAGAAATAGAAGCCCACACAGATATGGTCACGGCAATTGACTTTGACTATCCCTTCGGAACAATGGTCAGTGCGGCGTTAGACGATACAGTGCGAGTTTGGGATATGAACGTTGGCCGATGCTCAGGTTTGTTGGAAGGCCACAACGCCTCGGTTCGGTGCTTGCAAGTGGAAGATAATATTGTTGCCACGGGATCTATGGATGCGTCAGTCCGATTGTGGGACTTGAGCCGCGCTCGGCCCGCGACGCGAGATGGTCGCCTCAACAAGCATGAGCGCGATGCTGAAGATACCGAAACACACACTACACCGGTACCACCTTCATCAAACCTCGAAGACTGCCATGTCTTTACGCTCGATGCGCATGTCGATGAGGTGACCGCTCTTCACTTCAAGGGCAACACTCTCATTTCTGGATCCGCGGACAAGACATTGCGGCAATGGGATCTGGTCAAGGGACGTTGTGTTCAGACGTTGGATGTCATGTGGGCAGCTGCCCAGGCGTCTTCGTCCTCCATGACTAACGACGGCAGCTGGCGCCCGACCGGTCGGATGCCCGATGCATCTGCAGACTTTGTTGGAGCAGTGCAATGCTTTGATGCAGCTCTGGCCTGCGGTACTGCCGACGGCATGGTTCGCCTGTGGGACCTTCGTAGCGGCCAAGTCCACAGGAGTCTTGTGGGCCATACTGGTCCGGTCACATGTCTGCAATTCGACGATATGCATCTGGTGACAGGAAGTCTGGATCGCAGTATTCGGGTAAGTCTTTTTTTGTCTCATTCGCAACTATTGAATGATACTAACCCTGGATAGATTTGGGATCTGCGAATGGGCTCGATCTACGACGCCTATGCCTATGATAAACCTATCACCAGCATGATGTTTGACTCGAAGCGCATTGTTGCCGCTGCGGGTGAGAATGTTGTCAAGGTTTACGACAAAGCTGACGCTCACCATTGGGATTGCGGACCTGGTGTCGGCATTGACGACGAAGGCCCTCTTCCCGCAACCGTCGAACGTGTTCGACTCAAGGATGGGTATCTTGTTGAGGGCCGCAAAGATGGTACATTGGCCGCTTGGACCTGCTGAACAAATAAATCCAAACCCGAATCCTAACCACCCTCACCACCATCACCGATATAACCCTCCTCATTCACCTCTCCCATTGTCTCTTTGTCTGAGGATCCCCACCAACCCCTCACTTCCTACTCGTTTTGTACAGTATTGCACCCTATGTCTAGAATTGGATGCAGCGTCCGACACATCTGGAGTGGCAGGACCATGATATCGATTTTTTTTTTCTGTACGTACAGTAGCATTGCGCCATCCAATTCAAATTCATTCTTTGGCATTGTGAGATCAAACGAGTCGTAATAGTAGATGTAAATACCGTGACAATATATATCACTTTGAAAGTGGCTTTCAAGAGAGCAGTCTGATGTAGAGGTAATTGAAGTAGACCTCGGGAGACATCAATGCGACAAAGAAAGGCGTGCGGAGTCACGGTCAAAGCTACTCGAGAACCTTCACCAGGGCCAACCCTGGAACTTCCACTGTGTCTTTATTTCAAATTTGAATCCTCTCACTTCCATTTTTTTCTTCTCATCGCATCTGCGACACCAAGACTACTAGCGGTCTCATTCTACCTCAACGGGCCGCTAATCGATCGTCGTCCAATTGTTGCGGCTCCACCCCCTTCCCCTTCCAACCCGCAGTCACGTTCCGTCGCGCGTCTGCGCGTCTCAACTCTGCAAAGTTCGGGGTCGCGATCGACAATTGAGACCAGCAACGCCGCGCATTACTTGAAATCTTGCTTGATTTCACAGTTGGCGCAGACTTGTCACTTTCAGCCCCCGCGATCCGGGGGATCCTTTGCTTGCGACGCCCTTGATCGTCTGCGCTACCCCGTCCCTGGGCTGGCTATACCTCCCCACCACAACCACCTGATTCACGCCTAGACTGGTGTTTGATTCCCCAGGATTCCGAGTTCTTGACTGACAGTCGGAGTCCAACTGAAAAAAAAGGACTGGTCCTGGCGTATCATCCGTTCATCCCAGAGCTGCTCACGCTGAAACCGACGAGTGTAAGTTTTTTTCTTTTTGTTTCTATTCCTGGTTTCGTTCCTTTGTCCTTCTCACTGCCTTTTAAATGTGTCACATTCATTGTTTTCATTATTTGCCTGCGAAACCATGTCTTGATATCTGCCGGGCATGACCCTTCAATGTCTACTTTTCCACCCCTAGCATCTATCCCATCTGCAGGTATCCACCTATCTGCTTTCCCGGGCTCAACCTGATACTCTGCGATTCACCTGTTTTCTGTCAAATTGCTCTTTTCATTCCATTTTTGTCTCAGGGCTGAAAGAATAGGTGTAGCATGTCTAAACGCGCCACGGCGGGCCGGGGTGCCGGATCTCCTCAACGGCCGTTCGAAACACTGCTTGACTTTTCCAATGGTCCTGTTTTACCGCCAGTGGCTGTTGGAACATCACACAATTATGGGGCCACGGGGCCGACGGCATTGCCGAAAGAAGCAGCACATGATCCAATTCAGGATGTTATGGGCATGGTTAAAAGAATCAACACTGGCCTTGACGACAGCGAGCAGCGAATATCTCTCTCAAGAACTGGCTCTGCAGTGCCTTCCAGAAGCGGTTCAATCCATACCAGCCGGCGTACTAAGCGAGAACCTACGCCGGACGATCAGCTTTTCCGTGCGTTACGAGAAGCAACTGAGTCGCCGACCAGAGAAGTGCATTCTGATAGGACACCGACCCCGCCTATTCCACGAGCAGTCTCTACGGATTCAAGTCCTGATATACCACCACCTAGACGCAAGAACAGCTTGGTATCGGTGATTACGAACTCCCCGATGTATCCGAAGCCGCTGCGACAGTTGTCAAACTTCTTTTCCCGTGAGGAGCCTGATGACGGTACTCCACATCGTCACAGCTCGGTCGACAATGCCTCTGAAGTATCATTTGAGCTGGAGCGCACAATCCATGATGGCGAGTTGCAACGTACGCGACCAAGCGACCATGGGTCGAATCTTTCCAAGGCCCCTCGAAGGCCCTCTGGTGTGCAGCTTCAACCGACGATTGAGGAAGAGGATGAACCGAGTTCCGTGCTGGCTGACCAGTCCGAATTTATCAACCCTGCCGATCAGACATGGACCGCCGAAGCAAGGACTGTTTTTCCATCTCGTTTCCAATCACTTCCTCGCTCGGAGTCACGATCGGATGAACCTGTTCTGCAAGAACCCCAGCAATGGGATTCATCCTCAAGTTCTGAGAGCCGCATACGAGACTACATGCGCGATATTTCTGGAGCTGCACTAAAAGGCGTCGATTGGATTGCCATCAATTGGTTGAAAACCGCAGGTATTCTGCTCTTTTCCATGCTTCTTGTCGGCGCCTACCAGACAAATATTTGTGACGGCCTTGGCCTATTTGCCCCCTCTGGTGAATATTCGAACTTCCCTTCAAATGGAACCGACCCAGCTGTCCGCGAGATCCGAAGTCGAATGTCAGACATGAGTAGCCAAATATCGTCATTATCGAAGGAACTGAAGTCTTCTCGATCGGAGCAAAAGGGCCTGACGACAGGGCTTCCCACCAATATGCCATATAACGCTCAGTTAAGTTCTATGGACCTCCAGATCAACTTTCTTTCCCCGTCAAACGGAGCCATGGTCGATCCTCACACAACTTCACCCACAGCTAGCGAAAGCACTGTCAAGCCAGTTTCCCGACTAAGGAAGTTACTAAGGGGCCTTGGCATGTTTTCTTCGGGCGATACAATGAAATCAGTTCACGAGCAGCTAGCTGCACTGTTACCCTGGGAGGAAGCTGGTGATTGCTGGTGCAGCGTGAAGGAAGCCCAGCTCGCGGTTTATCTTGGTCGTGCTATCGTGCCGGAAGAACTGGTCATCGAGCATATCCCAATGACGGCAACTTTGGATCCAACTTCAGCACCAAAAATCGTCGAGATGTGGGCACAATTTGTTGTCGTTGACTCAGGTTCAAATAATGGACAAGAATACGAGTCTGACTTTGACTGGAAGTCCCCTTACGGCGCCGGAAAGAACCAACGTCAATCCAAAAAGCCCCGACCAGCAAAAAAGCAAGGTCTTGGGAATTTCAACCTACCTGGAACAAACTCACTTTCTGAAGTCCTCATGAGTGCCTTGAAGAGATCGAACCCGCATTCTGACCCGAAGGACTATTCGGACGATCCTCTCCTCGGACCGAACTTCTACCGAATCGGGCGGTTTTTCTACGATATTAAGGAACTCAACTATAGACAGTCCTTCGCCTTATCACCGATCATCGATATTCCAACAATCCGTGTGGACAAGGTCGTCTTGCGCGTGAAGGAAAACTGGGGCTCGAATCAAACCTGCCTTTATCGATTCAAGCTCCACGGGCATACCTGAGTTAGGATGTAACCAAGCTTCCTACCTCTGGTGGTTCTACTTACGACATTTTCTTGCTCTATTTATTCTCTTTCTTTTTGATTTGTTGGATGGTCAATCGGAGTCAGATGAAGCACGGATTTTTCCGCTTTCCTTTTTTTCTGCGGCGCGATGATACCTTGCATTTGGCGAGTAGCAGGAGGCGTTTCAAGGGTTCAATTTCTATAATTTAGATGCAAATATGAACTTGCAAATTATTCTGTCACGCAGCGGGGGTCTACATCTATTCCTAATATCCCGGTGTACCGTACTAGTAGTAGTAGTAGCTTATGTATACACGCCACCCGCCTGAGGCATCAGCCCCAAGCCCCGAGCGGGGGACGAGCAGAGGCGCATTTCTGTTTTCTGTGCCTCGCATTGCCCCCATGATTATTATTCGCAGTAGAAAGAGGGGGGGGGGGGAAACGAGCAGAAGAGTTGTAGATACCAAATGGTCCTGGGGCGAACTTTTATCCTCGTTCCATTCTCTCTCTCCCTTCCCCAGCACTCCACCCACCCCCACTTCCGGTCATGACGAAGGCGGACACTCGGCCTCACCTCTCCGGGCCCTTCACCTCCCTCGGTCACGCGCCTTTCGTGCAGCCATCCTCGTACCTTCGGCCTCCAATGACCTCCCAATCCGAGAGACCTGTAGATCGGGAAGAGCGACAGGGCCTGGTAAGTTGGTGACTTTCTTTTTTCCCCTTCGATTCCCCCGCGCCATTGGTCGACCCCTCCACATTCGGCGGACCAGAGAGACACAGAGTGCGAGAGATCGAGATCGAGTTCAAGAGAGATCCAGAGGCCCAGGAGAGAGTGAAGCGAGCCTCTTGCTCCTCCCTCATCGCTCGCTTCCTTTTCAATAAGGATCTGACCGGGGAACGAGACAAGCCGGGGAAGACGGCCCAGGTTGTGTGATCGAACGGGGTTCCTGAATTGCAAACCTCGCCCCCGTTCGTGGCGGGTGACCAGCTCGCATCCAGATCTTGACTAACGCGGCGTCAAACAGCGTGCCATTCGCAACTTCCTGAAGGTTCGAACCAGTTACGACGTCCTCCCCTTGAGCTTTCGCCTCATCATATTCGACACCTCCCTTTCCGTGAAGGAGAGCTTGAATATTCTCATCCAAAATGGCAAGTCACTTTCGTGCCCTTCCCCCTCCCTTCTCCTCCGCGATGGTTCTGCGACAGCTGAGGAAACCGTGTGGGCGCAAGCAAAAGCAAAAAGCCAAAAAAAAGACTCTGGCTGACTGAAGCGCAATCGGGAAGTACAGGCATCGTTTCAGCCCCGCTGTGGGACTCCAAGGCCTCCAAGTTCGCAGGTCTCCTGACCACCTCCGACTACATCAATGTCATCCAATACTATTTCCAAAATCCCGCTGCCCTGGGAGAAATCGACCAGTTCCGACTTGATAGCCTTCGCGGTATGTAGCGCCATTCCCGCGCTCCTACGCTCCTACGCTCCTTTCCTTTTCGACCCATTGTCAATTCAAGCTGACCAAATCTGGGCGGGCACAGAGGTTGAGAAAGCATTGGGCGTTGCGCCCCCCGAGACCGTCTCTATCGACCCCGAGCGTCCTCTTTACGAAGCATGTCGGCGCATGCTTGAGTCACGAGCCCGTCGTATTCCCCTCGTCACCAACGACAGCCAAACCGATAGATCCCATGTGCTCAGTGTTATAACGCAGTATCGCATTTTGAAGTTCGTCGCCGTCAATGTCAGCGATACACAGAAATTGCGCCGCCCGCTAGGAGAACTGCTCTTGGGCACCTATGATAATATAGCGACGGCGTCTATGGACACCCCCGTCATCGATGTGATTCATATCCTGGTTGAACGGAGTATATCCAGCGTGCCAATCTTGAATTCCGAAGGTATGCTCACGGACCCCATGTTCCTTCCGCAGTTTTTCTTTCCTAGGCGGACTTTACGAATGGTTTGATTGATATTTCTTCTACTAGGTGTCGTATACAATGTTTTCGAATCGGTCGATGTGATTGCCCTGATTCGAGGTGGTGTTTACGATGATTTGAGTTTGACGGTTGGAGAGGTGCTGAAGAAGCGATCACCGGTATGTTGGAGTATATGATTGTTTATCAGGCAGTGATACTAATTTGGTGGATAAAGGAATTCCCGGGTATTTACACATGCTCACTCAATGACGGACTGGATACGATCTTCGATACGATCCGCAAGTCCCGTGTTCACCGGTTGGTAGTTGTGGATGAGTACTTCAAGCTCAAGGGAGTCATCACACTGAGTGATATCCTCCATTACATTCTCCTCGAGGGAGAAAATGACGAAGCATGATTGGGACCGGGACCGGGACTCCGACCCCTCAAACCATTTTATACATACTCTTTGAATTGCATGAAACCGGCGTTCTCTGTTTTGCGTGATCTTGGACAATCGGATATCCTTGACATTTGGGGCTGAATGTACAAAGGTAATGTGTTCTCTTAAAAGGGCTCGTTGAAAAAGATCGAGCCACGGCGCAATGGGGACAGAATTATAGATTTCCTTCCTATCCAATGCTTCCCATGTATCCTAGGATATACTAACCGTACTGGTACCGAGGTACCTACTACTAGGTAGTATTGACAGTACTAGTACTGTCTTTGTAGTCCGAGTCCTCCTGCGCTCCTGCCAGTTCACGCACCACGCACCTTCCTGAAGCCCTTGACAAACACTCCCATGCCCCCTCTACTACTTCTAGTAGCATCTCCTCTTGACTGCGTCCTGTCTCATTCTTCTCTCTACTTCTCTCAGCACATATTACCGCTTCTATTTCTTACCTTTTCATGCTTGAGTTCGAGCCTCTCTGCATCGCTACAACTTGAGCTTTGGATACTGTGATATGGCATCCCTTCGACACATCTTGGGTCTGTCTAGATCGGACGAAAATCCCCCGCGATCTCGTATCACCTGGCATCGTCGGCGTCGTACAGAAACTCCTCCGCCTCCGCCGTATCAGACAGAATCGGACATTGTACCAGATACTCCCTATTCGGCGGTTCATCATACTGGGTCGGAGCGCACGAGCGAGACCGCGGCAGCAGCAGAGAGCCCTGCTACTTTTCAGCACGACGAAGACGCACCGGGAGATGACGATGGCAGCCAGCCTTCTGGGTATGCATCCACTACCCAAGAGCCTGCTCGCAAGAGCGCCGCTTCGAGCCTCTCTCGACCTCGTGGCTCGAATCCTCTAAAGAGCATCATTACCCGCTTCCGCCACAACATATCCAACAAATCCAATGAACAAAGCGAAAGCTCGGAGGCAGCCCAACCACTCCATCATCAAGCAGAGAGTGCGGAATCGGAAGCACCTGTCAGAACTGGACCTCCAGGCCCTTTTTCTCCTCTATCTCGGAACCCACCTTCTGCCGGGTCGGAGGCTACAGAGCAACAGCGAACTGTGAGCGCTCAAACGGCGGAAACACAGGACTCGGAAAATACCAGCGCAACAGTGCATCGGCACTCTTCTCAGCACGGCATTCAGACGCCAGTTTTAGAATTGCAGCAAGATTGCTTCTCGCCAGCTTTCTTCGCAGACTATGGGCCAGAGACCAGTCACTTTGCCGAAGGATCAGATCCCTTTGCGGACAGAATCACCCCGGCACCGACACTTGCCCATGTGCCTTCAAAGCGCTCTCCAAAGCACTCTTCAACGCGCTCCTCGAACCAGTCTTCCAGACATACCCCCAAACAATCCTCGAAGCAATCCTCGCGTGATCAGAATAACGAGAGTAGTGGATCCACTCTGATTCCACAGCTTCCCAGAGGCCAGTGCTTTTTTAGCTCCCGCCATGCATCTAATGCCAGCTACGGGAGTCGAACTTATCGACTTGATCCAGTGAGAGCGGCTAATGGATTCAATTCGATTTCGGAACAGTACAATCTCCAGATTAGACTGGACGAAATTCTCGCAGATACTGAATGTAAGTAGATCTGGTCTCGTCTCGTACTAGTAGCTACCTGAAATGGAATTGGGTAGCTAATCTATTCCATCTCAGGTAGCTACTAGTCCGAGACGAGTAGACGATCCTTTGAATGTGAACTAGCTAACGACTTTTGTAAAGCTATATCGGCAGCAAACAAGGTAGACGAGGACCACGTTCAAATCCAAAATCGGGTACTTCAAATTCGCCCAGTGCAATCGAACATGGAGATTGTCACTCAGGCACCAGTTCCGCCCAAATTGCGACGAACAAAGACATTTGCAAATCTGACTCGTCAAAAGAAGCCCAAGCCTCTGACTGCCCTACAGGGAAGGTCTCTGGAATCTATGTCTCGTCTTGGTGGACATAGCTATCTCGTCTAGGGGTCGAGATTAATTCCCGAGCCGTTGCAGTTGCCGGCGTGTTTTGTGGCGATGATTTCGTACCTCCGAAAATATGGCCCCAACACAAACGGTCTATTCAACGAGGGCGGTGATACCCGGGCTGCCAATCGTCTGTACGACTACTTTGCCAGTCACGTATTGGACGCAGAGAAGGAGGATTCTAAGATTGCGATAACCATGCGGACGATCACGATGCCGCTTTGGGAGGACTTGGAACAAACCTTGACTGTGGGTGTTACATTCCAGGCACTTTTGACGGGGCTGCCGGACGGGCTCCTCGGCTCTGTCCACCTGTTCGAGGTTCTTCAAACCATCTGCACTGCCAACATAGCTGCGCCTATCCCAACCACCCCAAGAATCCAGCTCATCACCTTTGCCATCATTGCATTGGCCAGCGACATGCAGCGTGCTTTACTCTGCGCTACTTTTGGGTTATTGATCTGGCTTCGCCAAGCATCGGATGCGGATCAGGCTGTTTTGCCTGAAGGGCCCCAGCCCGGGACTCCACTCCGACGAGTGGCGTGTCTGCAAAGTCTAGATTATCTTGCACGGGCTTTTGCACCGACTCTGCTTGGATATCGGCACCTGCGAGACAACCCCGAGGAGGCCGGGTACTTTGCTATCGCACGGCTACTGATGGAAGACTGGCAAGGAGTGAACCGGCAGTTGCGGGATTGGGCTGCAGGGGTAAAGCAGCAGGAGTGAAGGGGTGTTTTCTTTTCTTTTCTGTTCTTTTCTTTCTTTGTTTCTTTCCTTCTTTCAGGTCTTTCAAGTCTTTTTAGTACAAGTGAAACGAACATGGATGTGTACGATGTTCATGTATAAATTAGCTCTTGTTTTCTTTTTTTGGTTGTATACATTAAACAGGGTCCACTTTGATGGGTCCACGTACCGATGGGCCGTTGCTATTGGACGGCCTGGCTTCCCGAATTAACTTATTCTTCCTTGAATTGAGAGCTCCCCATCGAAACTAGTAGCTACCTGAGATGGGATAGAGTAGCTATAGAGTGCATCTCAGGTAGCTACTAGTCAGCGATTAGAAGCGAAGACAAGGGCAGTCAACATGGTGTATCAGCTTGGATGCTGAGTCTACAGTAGTAACTTTAAGTTGAAACTAATTGCTCGGCAGTAGATACTGTCTTTATTTCCAAGTTCCCAACTGTAACCCCCTCCCCCCTGGCTTGTCGTAGTCAGCTTCAGGGTGATGTCAAAGACTGCAGAGAGTTCATTGTGCCAGGGCTGACCATGGCACTGCGTTTGTCTTCCCTCCCCTCTCCGCTGCTCTGGCACGGCTCTTGCTCTACTTTTGACTCCTATCCTGGTCTGTCCCACATACACCTCATCTCACTCTCCACGCGCATTCGCCCGGATCTACTGGACCGCTGGAAGTTCTGTCCGACCGTGGCTCCAATCGGTCGACCGACACCTGGGCCTCTTCTCTTCAGGCACCGGCCGGCCTCGCATCCGTGGTTATTGGCTGCTGAACCCCAGCATCGCACCTTTGCTGGTCTTGACGCCCGAAACTCTGGTGCTGTGGTCGGTGTTTCCATGTCTGCAAGCTGTGCCTGGTCCATTTACCATCGACAGAAACAGAAGATCCAGAGCCAGAGACCGAACCAGAGGCAGAAGCAACCAGCAAGTGGAAAGAGAATCAGAAACAGAATCGAAATCAGAAACACAAGTCCAAAACAGAAACGAAAAGCTCCTCCGACGCCCAAAACAGCACACCTTCACACGAATTGAGCTGTGACACCTTCCTCGCACCTGCAATTCTCTTTCAATTGAACCGCAACGATGTCTACCAGCAACCTCAACCCCTCCATCGCCCACCACGGCCTCCCTCACGTTGGCCCCTCAGCTTTCCCGACTGCCAACGCTTTCACCGGCGAGTTTCTAGGGCTTCCCATCCCCGAAGACGATCAGCTTTGGGGTCTTAGCCCAGTCTCTCCCACCATGGGTACCGGATGGGATGCCAAAGCGGAGGCCGCAGCCTTTGCCAGCTCGGCTTTGGAACGAGACCTGAAGAACGCTCAGGTCCGAAACGGCCAGCCTACACCTCCACCTTACGATGATCAACACGCGCGCGATTCTTCCAGCTTGGAAATCGAAAGTGCCAGTCGCCGACGTCGAGCCCGCGATTGCAATATGGCAATGGATAGTCTGAGCCCAGACCTGGATGACAACCCATACCAGGAGCGCGCGAAGAGGGCGAAATTCCTCGAGCGCAACCGTTTGGCAGCAAGCAAGTGTCGGCAGAAAAAGAAGGAACACACCCAGCAGCTCGAGTGCAGGTTCAAAGAACAATCGGAGAAGAAAGACGGCCTAGTGGCGGAAATTGCCCGACTACGCTCCGACCTCCTCCTTCTGAAGAACGAAGTCCTGAAACATGCTCAGTGCGGCGATGAACCCATCAAGCTGCACCTCGCGCAGATGGTCAAGAAAATCACCGACACCGACGGCCGTCCTTCAGTGCCCCCGGAGCCTATGGCTGAGATTACTGAGAATATCCCCACTTCCTCATCCGACGGCCCTCCTACCCCGATTGCGACGCTTCCAACTGCGACTCCTGCTTCCGTTGCGGTCCAGACTGCTTCAGCATTGTCCTTTGGCTTTGATGACCCGATGCAATTAGAGCCCATTGCAGCTTCAGTCGCTTCGGTTTACCCTGCAGATGCCTTGGAGCAGCAATTGCGTCGGGACTCAGAGATGACTCTGGTGTCGGAATCGTCGTACGCCTTTTCGACAGATGATACATTCGAGGACCTTATCAACGTACCTTGATATGATATGATGAACGTTTCAAGCCCCTCTCGCGTGTTACAAGGGTTGCTTTTCGGATGGTGGGTAATTAATTAGGCTGGGAAGCAGCAGGCCTGCTATGACTTGAACTATAGTCCTTTCTTCTTCGTCCTTTTTTCTCTTTTCTTTCTTTATGCTTTTCTTCAAAACCAAAATTTCTCCCCGTGTCTCTGTATTTCAGCTGGAGGGTGTTCGGCGTTGATGTGTCTATTGGGATGGAACTATGAAGCAGGTTTCTTACCCATGCTACTACTAGTATACCTGTCCATTACCCTCGTTTGCTTCGAATGCCATGCTGTTATATCCTTTAGCATTGGCAAGGCTTTGCTGGTTTGGAGGTGGCTCGGAGGCTCGTTGTTTCTACTCAGTGGATAGGGCTCCGTGTAACTTGGTCAGTGAATGACACAGATGCAATGCATTCAATAGTATGCTTTGAACATGTCTATATGTAATTGTATACCCCCTCGGAGATTTAATATACCGAGATCTAGTAAAGTGCCAGTGTTTATACATACCCCACTTAGACAGCTCTGTACTTTGGTGTCACAGCTATACATCAATGCCGTCTAGCGGTCGACTCAACATGTGCATGACCGTGCTTGGACTGGTCTGATTTGGCCGTGGTCACGGAATTGTTGCGATCCAGGAACTGTTCTGGACCGTTCTCACGGCCGCCTGGGCCGTTCGAGTCACCGGCTTCGTCGATGACATCGCCTTTCCAACCATGTTCCACATCGGGGTCTACCCCGTCGAACATTTCATTTATCTCCTCCAGTGTCTTGCCCGCTGTCTCCTTGAGACAGAAGAATGTAAATGCAACGATGAAGATATCCAGCACGCCAAAAAGTAAGAACGTACCCCACCCAATCCCCTCCATGATGTATGGCGTGGAGAAGCTCCACACAAAATTAAAAAGCCACTGCGAACCCACGCCAAACGCCACACCTGGCTCGCGGATGCGCGTGGGAAATATCTCGCTTGTACACGGCCAGGGCAGAGGACCCCAGCTGAAGTTATATGCGATGATATCGAGGTATATCAAAGCCAAGGTGGCGATGCCCGCGGAAGAAATTACCCCGTCTTGCGGTGGGTAGTTCTTGACCACTCCTGCCGTAGCAAGCATACACACCGCCATGAACGATGCCCCCATTGCCAGCACGGGGCGCCGTCCGAAGCGATCGGACATGAAAAGCACGAAGATCAGACAAGCAACAACTTTGATAGCACCGAAGATACCAGTCAAGAGCAGATTTTTATCACCTGGCCCAACGAGCAGGGAGAAGAACTGTGGACCGAAATATGCCAGTGCCGTCGAACCAGTCGACTGCTGTGCGAGAAAGATTCCTGCACCAATAAGCAAGCGATGCATATTCGGCCCTTCAAGGAGCTCGCGCAAACGGAAACCAGCCGTGGCGTGCCGCTCTTCTTCAAGACCGCGACACATCTCGTTGAACTCGTCATTCACAGCTTCGCTATCACCCGCCCGGATCCAGACGAGACTGCGCCATGCATCGTCTGTTTTCCCGTGTGCCAGTAACCAGCGTACGCTCTCGTCGAGCGAGAGCATCCCAACCCCCATCAGGAAACCTGGGACGAGTTGTAGACCGATAGGTAGCTGCCACTGCCTGGCGGTAGCTGGCATGGCCTTGACGCCGTAATCTATCCAATATGAGGCCAAGATGCCGATCGTATAGGTGAGCTGATAGCAGGAGCCGAGCTGGCCTCGAATTTCCTTGGGACTCATCTCGGACATATAGATCGGGATGACGGTTGCCGAGCCACCGACACCAAGGCCACAGATGACACGCCCGACGTAGAAGACTGGCAACGAGTGCGTGTCGATGACTTCTAGTATGACACCGAGGCAGAAAACGACTGAGCAAGCCATCATTGCTATCCTCCTTCCAAACTGGTTTGTCACGGGCCATATCAGGAAACATCCCGCTAATGCGCCGGCTTGTTGGATACCCACGGCGATGGCGCTAACGCGGGTTTCTTGGTCGGGGGTGATGTTAAAGGAGGTTTGGAATGAGGCGAAGGTTAGAACCCCACCTGGGACAGTTAGTTAGAGCTTCAATGGCGGCAGCTTTTGGCTCCGTAAGACATACCAATGACGCCCGAGTCATATCCGAACAAAGCTCCGCCGCAGCAGAGTACAGCAGCCAGCCAGTATGTGCGCCATCGGGCTTTGGACAGCCGTAAAGCTTCCATCGCGTGGAGTTGGTCCTCCGACTGTAATTGAGTGGAGTCGAGGTCTGATTGCTGGGGGATTTGGGTGTACGAGGCGAAGGTAGTATTAGATAAATCGTTCCACCAGCTGGACAAACGAGTCCGGGCAGCACCGAGGATGGTATCAGGGACGGGGTGGCGGTGGGAGGTCTTGATATAGAAGGGATTACATGGCTGGACATATTGCGGAGAAGAAGGAAAAGGAAAAGAAGAAGAGTGAAGCGCAATTCATGGAGAGTCTGGCTGTTTCGGGGAGTTGGTTGTTTCCGGATCGGCGTGTCTTATGTCATGGACTGCCGACGGCCGACATTACACAGTTAGTAACACTGCAACACATCAACACGCAAGCATCACGCCATGCAGTTGATCAGGTACAGAGCACAGCTGATACGCGTACATCTGGCTTCTTCACTACACCGCTGTCGATTAGAGTCATTCTGGCTTGGGCCCCAACTTTGAGAATTACAGTAAATACCCTGTAATCAGTCTAGAACTCAACTTTAAGATATTCAAAGCACCTGAATGGTCATTCCATTTCGGTATTGAATTCAGTAAAAGATACTCTTTTCTCTTCTACTGTGTCCATGGATATAGTCTTTGCACAACAGAGTCGATTTACATAAACACCAAGTTATCGGACAAGTATGTAATCAATACGCCATGTGACCAAATTAACC